AAATTCCATTTGATACCTTTTTTGTTGCTGACGAGGTTGAGGGGTCATAGCAGTTGCTATAACTCATCATAAGTCATTCTCTAAACGACTTGGTAAAGAAGTTTGTGTATTTGACAGAATTTCGTAATTTAGATCAGCGCAATCTGTAGGTGGCTCACATCTACTACGACGATTTTGATGAAAGAATCTGGCTACAAAGTTAACATGGAACTTAGTATCCAATTGTAAAGCATACAATACGTGTCAACAAATAAAACACTGTTCACAAATCGGAGCTTTTCAATACGATAATAGTTTGGCAGATACTTTTATGTGCCGAATTTAGTTTATTAAAAACTACGTTTACCGTACTAGACCTTTTCTAATAATGTAACCATTAAAAAGATAGTATGATTTTCGTGGATTGTGAAAAAAAACTATTGGTGGACTAGCAACAGAGCCCGTTGTGGTTATACAACGATCTCTAGTAAAATAATGGTTATGAAATTCATACACCACTTTACTCACTAATATTAATGGTACAGATTAAGCACATATATATTTAGAATCACACTTTAGCCACAAATGCTAATTGTAAACAGCAACATGTAAACAAAGAAAACCCAATTAAATAACAACACATAACAATCAGCTGTTAAATTATCAACACACTGTCATATGATCATCAGCATCAGAGATGATATACAAATACCCCCGCCGCAGCAAACCTGCCGAATAAGTGAATTTCCAGTTGCCTGAATTGATTTTCAATTAAATGTATTGAATTAACATTAATTTTTATGAGTACATAGGCTTGCTGCTACAGGGAGGGTAAAAAAGTGTGTTTTTTAGTGAAATATTAATAACTAAGTATAAAATAAATAAATTTACCAAGTTTGATCAAAATATATCCATAAACAAGCAGACTACAACATTTTACAATATTCCCCATAAGAATAACATGGGAGTTTTAAAATAACAATTATTTGAATTTTCTCCGTAACCAATAATTATACAAAAACACTTTGGTATACTACATTATTTGTTTTTTTAAGCTCTTTCAGAAGGTCTGGAGAGAAATTGGGAAATTTTGCGTTTAGAGGGTAAAAAATTAGGGAAATTCGCTAAAACCCATTACTGCCATAAATCTTTTTTAAATCAAACTTTCATAATATTGTTTGCAAACCTATATGGGTTAAGCGTTCCGATTGACCTATATCAATTAATCAAATTGGTCCAGTAGAACTGTATATTTAATTGTACAAAGTTTACAACAATATCTCTAATTCAGTATTTTCTCACTACTATAAATTCGGAGGTTGCTTATCTTTTTGCAAATAACTTTTTAAATGGAAATCAACTAAAGTGGAAGATGATATTATGAAAGAGAATAACATTTCCTACAAATTACTGTTTGTATTTCTTGAAAAGGCAGCCTAAAGTCAGCTACAAAAGAAACATGGAAATAGAAACATGAAAATGCCGTTTTTAATGTACTCTTGTTTTAAAAAATGTAAATTTCATAATTATTTGCAAATCTACACGAATTATATGCTCTCCAACGACCCCTTATTAACAAAATCGGCCCACTAGAAGTCTAGATTTAGTTGTATAAAGTTTAACAAACAAATTTTAAATTCAGAATTTTCTAACAACTCTAAATTTCAGGTCGCTTTACTTATTTGCCAATAACATTTAAATTGTGGGAAAATCGACCACAGTGGACGTGATATTTTGAAAGAGAATAACATTTCCTACAAATAACTACTATGTATTACTTGAAAATACTTAATAGAGACTGCCAAAAGTTAGCTACAAATAGAAACTTGAAAACATAAACTTGCAAAAAGCAGTTTTTAATGTACTTTTGTGATTTTTACGTTATTGTCACAAAATATTTAATAAAATAACACTTTTACAATTATTTGTAAATCCACACGAATTATGCTTTCCAGTAACCCATTAATTAACAAAATCAGTCGCGTAGAAGTCTAGATTTATTTGTACAAAGTTTAACAAAAATATCTCTAATTCAGTATTTTTTCAGTACCATAAATTCAGAGGCTGCTTAGCTTTTTGCAAAAACATTTAAAATTGTGAGGAAATCTACCAAAGTGGAAGGTGATATTCTGAAAGAGAATAAAATGTCCTACAAATGGTATACATTTCTTGAAAAATACTAAAAATGCAGCCAAAAGTTGCACCTAAATAAAATATGTGAAACCCCCCGTTTTTAATGTATTTCTTAAGGAAAACATTTTTTATCTTTTTCCATAAATCATGATAAAAACAAACCTTTATAGTTATTTGCAAATCTACACGAATTAGGCTTTCCAGTGACCTATTAATTAACAAAATCAGTCAAGTAGAACTCTAGATTTAGTTGTAAACAGGTTTTTTAAAACTGGATTATATTTAAGTAGATAGATATTTCTGTATTATACACTACGAGTATAGTAATTTTCCTACATTTATCAAACAACGCAGCTATTCGTGTAGGCCTACTGATTATAACACTAAAAATAACTGTCACTTTGTTGCACTGCCAAGTTCACGTGGAATAAAATGTGAAGTCTGCAACAATGATTGTAATGATAAATAAGCTGTAACGCAGTTTTAGCGAATTTCCCATATAGGGATATAAATAAAATGCTATTACCGTAGTACTCATGGTAAGACCTGGACGCGGGACCGATTTTTTTTTTCGTTTTGAGGTCCCTAGAGGCCAAAAAAACCATCCGTTTAAATTCATATATATATATATTTATATATTTATATATTTATATATATATATATATGTGTCCGTTAGCACGATAACTCGAGCAAAAATGATCCGATTTTGATGAAATTTGGTACAAACGTGTAAACCTACGTTTATTCGAACGAGTTCGCGATCCAGCATGATCGGACCATGGGAACGGGGGTTTACGGGGGGTTTTATGGGGTAAAAATAGGTTTTTCCCATTTTTGACCCAAAAAACATAAAATTTAGCAATTTCTTTCCAAATCATTTTGTAGAGCTTAAAAAAACAAATAATTTAGTATACTCAAGCGTTATTATACGCCTAATGGTTACGGAGAAAATTCCAAAAAATTGTAAATTTAAAATTCCCATGTTATTCTTATGGAGAATAAGTAAACTGTTGTAGTTTGCTTGTTTGTGAACATATTTTGATCAAATTTGGAAAATGTTTTTATTTCTTACTAACTATTAACATTTTACAAAAAAAAAAAACAGTTTTACCCTCCCTGATTCAGCAAACCTAAGTACTTGTTAAACTAATTCTATTTAAATAGGGAATAAATGTTATATTTTTAAGTAGACATTTCAGTGTAAATCTAATCAGTCAAATGGAAATTCGCTTAGTCTGCAGGTTTGCTGCGGCGGGGGTATTTTTTTTTTTAACAGCTGTTAACACAATTAATATTGTGTTATTGTAGGTTTAGCCTATAAAACGTTGAGTTATTTATATGTTAGTCCAAAGGAATAATATAACTAATTTATACCCACCAAAAACACAACCCAATTTGTTTATTGGAATACTCAGTTCCCAATTAACAAATAAAAACCCCTATCCCCTTGAATCTAACCCCGTTCTACTGCTGTACTTAGTATTCCTATACACGTTTAATAATTGAAGCTAGTAAAGGTACGTTGATTTTTTTACTTTAAAGTTCTTACTTTTCGTTATATTTTGGCTTAACATTCAACCGGAAGAAATATAAGTACGAACAGTCACACTTTTGCAAAAAATCAATTCCGCAATTTCCCCGACTCACTGATTCAACTAAGTCCTTGCACCTTTGGTACCCAAGAATCGTACACTTCCAATGACATTCTAAGAACTTACCGGAAGAAACAAGGATTTTGAATCAACCGTACGGCACCTAACCGGCTAGGCCTTGTAGATCGATTCTACCAATTAGAAAAGCCAGGGGGGCAATGCCTCGACTGACGTCAGGGAGTCAGGGTCGGGAATCCCTCCCCAGGTTTGTTATGGTCCAGCGGACAAGTCCCCGGCAAGTCATATCACTAGTGATACGCGAACGTAGAGCATCGTCTCCCATGTGAGTACAGCATACTATATAAAGTGTATAATGTGTTGAGACTGTTTGAAATTGTATCTCGTCTTTTATTTGCTGAGTTTTTTTGTTAGTTTTATTACTATCTTATAATACATTATTTAATTTTTCCCGTTATTTATTATTCGACGATTTAGTATTTAATTTTTAGCCACAATTTGTTTACACATTTTTATTCAAGCATCGGAGTAAAGTGGAATTGTTGAAAATTATATGTAAGCAATTTTTTTATTAAGAATGTATGCTATATAATTTTATTAATATATTTTGTTGTTTGTCTATAGGTATTTCATGAAGGTTGTAAATTTTGTGGGTTCAGTTTAAATGTAATCATCACAGAAATATAAATTCATAGCAACGGTGTTAATTAAATTACTAAAATTGTCACTCGATCAACTAGTTAACTAATCTGAAAATGTTTAATGATTTATTCATGAAAATTCTTAATAAAACTACTGTAATTTAATTTGAATTTAAAAGAAATGTTCAACTAACTGGTAAATTTGTTGTGCTAAACAATACTAGTAATATATTAAAACTTTGATTGTCAAGTCAAAATTAAAATAAGTTAATTATATAGCTGAAATAAAAAACAACTTTAAATCAATTCTTATTTTTTAGCAAAAGTGATATGCTAATTTTTTTAAATACATTTTTAATTCATCAATACAACTTATTCTAAAAATTACATTTAAGTTTGCAAATTCAAGATGATCGTAATTGCCTTTTGATCTAGCATTAATTTTCCTTAAGGTTGAAAACATGACTTAAAAATAAGATACGGTATTATCGTGTCATAAGAATGAAATATTATTTATTAATCTTATTGTATTTTTTCTTATAATTTAATAAATTGAATTTATGACACAATTAATTGATTTTTATTAAATTGATCTCTTGATTAAGCAGATGTTTACTTAAATGTATTCTTTTTTCAGGTCAGCATGACGATAAAAATGAATTATCGCAGCTCCAGTATATCTGCATTGTTAATCTTTAGCTGTGCAGGTGAGCATATAAAATGTATTTTCTGTAAATTTAATAGGAATAAAACTACTTATATAAAATTGTGCAGCGCTATGTAAGATTTCAATTTCCATACAGGGTCAAAATATCCTGTATGAAATAGTTTTGTACACAGTGTAAATGCCGACGTGGCTCCAAAGAAAGACCAAGAATTTAATCATTGAATAATATTTTTAATGGTTCTAATGCCTAGTAACTTTGTACTAAGTTTTATGGTGCTATCTTTATTATTTTTTGAAATATTTAACTGTCCCGGAACGTTTTTCCCCTCTGTATATATTTTAAAGTTTATGATAAATATTTATTATTAATTACAGATTTGATAGTCTTTTACTCTGTTTTTGATTACAGAATTACAGTACATAGTTGAACTGAATGAAATAAATAAGTGTAGACTTGAATGAATTTACTCATGTTTATCTTATTGTTATAACTAACTGAGCTCTGAGCTGCGATACAATTATTAATAATATTATGTAATTTTGTCATATTAGGTAATTCTCAGTGCTCGATTTGTAAAAAAATCAGGTGCCGGAACTGTAACCTAGATTTATGACAATATTTTTATCTTTCCGAAAGAGAGCTACCAGAACACTGTTCCACCGCAAATCGAGCACTGGGTATTCTACTTATTGCTTTTATGAAATGTCACATTATTAATTAGGTCTTAGTACATACCTAATTAAAATTCAGAGAGCAAAGTGCAGTAGAATTTAATCATGTAAATAAATTAATTCCTCCAATGGACAACACCTAGAGATCCGTTTGTGAAATAAAACACATAGAGACGTATGTAACATGTAATTGTTGATTCATTCCGGTATGTTTTTTCTTGATGGTATTATTTATGTTAATCTTGATTTGTTGGCTACTCATCATATAATATATACATATATAACAATTTTTTTCCTACTAACTTAATTTTAAAATAATTCTAACATATGATAATTTGTAAACAAACATTATAAATCATAATTTATTTACTTATGTTGTTAACAGAGGCTAATGATGGGTTTAGAGGTAAACTCGAAATTTACCTACACATTTTTTTGTAAATTGTGTATAAATTTATTTATATGATGAGTAGCCAAAAAATCAAGATTAACATGTAATTGTTGATCTCAGAATTAAGTTAGAGTCATATAAGAATAATTTATATTGTCATAAAACTACTTTATCATCAAGTTTTAAACTAGAAAAATTTAACATCAAAATATTTTGTGATGAAAACCTTTATGAAGATGATTCAAGAACAATGAATATTAATCTTTTTTATCAACTTATCAGGTTTTATCTGCCAAGCTTCACCCGCGAGGACAATTCGTTCTCCTTCAGAACTCTCAACTTCAGGTCCGAATCTCGCACTAGAAGAGAAACTGTCAACTTCAGGTCCAAATCTCGCACTAGAAAACAAACTGTCAACTTCAGCCCCAACGATTCCTGTTGAAAACAAAATATCCACCTTATCTTACCCAGCTTCCAAGGAAGTACCGTTATACGCTACAGAAAGTGAGAATTCCAATGAAATTTTGACTGTGGCCGATGAAGTACATGAGGAACTGACTACGGACCCAGAGCCTTTGAACTCTATACACACAAACTCTGATGATGGTTCATCTTCCAACGACCAGACTCTGGGGATGGTAGAATCTCGTCCGATCCACCCTTGTAGGCGACCGTGTGTCGAGGGGAAACCTCCGATGACTTGCAGGTATGTTTATAAAAAGATAAATTAGTATAGTACGAGATTTTTAGACAATTAGTTTAGAAGAAGAATCAAGGGATGAGACAATGCAAGACCAAATGTTATTGTTTTAAGTAATCAATGGAATTTCAATTATTTAGGACTTGTTTATTGAAAGAGAATGGATATCATTCAACTGTACACTTACTATTTACATACAGTACTCAGTACTCTACATTGTGCTTCTTTAATGTTTAATTGTGGTTGTTTTCACTCTTTATAATGCAACACCTTTAACAACTAACCAACAAAGAGAATATAATCTTGGACTGAAAAACATTCCCTGAGGGGCACCACTCAACTTCGTTCTTTCAGAAAAAAATTACTACGTCTATGTAGATGGGATGTCTTCTTCAGCATCCAAGTCAAATTTTTTCATAAGCAGTTATAGCTCAAATATTTTGTTATGTTTTCCCAAATTTTATGTATTGAATATGCAAAAAGTCCAAGCTTTGGTGGTTTTACAAACGTTTTTTGGACTTTTATGCTAGAATTAAGTGGTAATTTGTTAAAAAAGTTACCTCCATTATTTGAGTGTCAATAAATCTACTAAACAGTCATGATTCCGCAGGTACCAGTTCAACGTAGAGTGGTACTATGCGATGAGCAAGGCTTGCCACAACTGCAGCAGAAACTCCTCCGACTGCTACAGACCTGAATGTATTGCTGCGGATGGAGTGAAGCGGCCTCTGATCACAGTCAACAGACTTCTGCCAGGGCCAAGCGTGGAGGTTGGTATATGTGGGACATAAGTAAATGTAGGGGCAGACTGAAATGTTTGAAAGAAACCAAAAATGTTGAAATAATTGGGCAAGACTCCTACAAAAAACATGGATGTGTTATTTTTTATTAAACTTGAATCACTATCATTTAACAACACTTATCTAGTACTTTGACTAACAATTTTATTAGGAGCTTTCTCTGATTCCTACATAATGCCAACCTCAAAAATCTACGTTCTGATCATGAGACCTTAACTACACGTCCTCATCTATTTGAAAATTCATACTTAAAACCTTTGTAATATCAATGAGACTGATCCGAAAACAAAAATAAAGAGGATACTGTGTGTTCTAGGTATGCCTGGGTGATCACATCATAGTGGACGTAGCCAATCACCTGATGGATGAGACTACCAGTGTTCATTGGCACGGACATCACCAGAGAGGGTCTCCCTACATGGACGGAGTGCCTTTCATCAGCCAGTGTCCAATCTCACCTAACTCTGTGTTCCGCTACGACTACCGAGCAGACAACCCTGGCACACACTTCTGGCACTCTCACACTGGTATGTACTTAGTGTCATGTTGTAACAAAAGTTATTTGTGTTCACGCCATTGACTTTTAAGGTTTTTTTTACAAGTATTTTTTGTACATTCAACCAATATGATTTTTGGATAATTCAACAAAAAGTTAAATAATGTTGTATCAGACAAAATGTTTAAATGTTGACTCTTGTGTAATAACAAGAGTGATATATGATGGGGTGTTTATTTTTAACGATTATCAGATCGCTTGTTCTAAGATTAGGAGAAGAATAAATTTTTTTTATGGAACACAGCAGTTTTAACTGATTTAAAGGGCATGTAAACCAATGGTTTTATTGTGACAAAATCATTTGATGATCATCAATGATAAATGCATGATTCCATGCAACAGGTCTATTTTATATTAAATACCCGTCTTAACAAATTGTCAGTTGGTTGAATAAATTATAGTTCAATGTTAGATAATTTTATAATTTTCTGCTTTGTTGTATGTGAATAAAACAAGTAATCAAGTAGTCAGTGTTGCAGTCAAGCTTGTAACCCACACTTAAACATAGTTTTTACTTAGTAACTTGTTTATTGAAGTTCAAATGTGGATTATCAATCCCAACTTGTGTTGTAGTTTACAATAAGCTTATTTTTACTTTACAGGAGTACAAAGAGGCGATGGTGCATTCGGAAGTTTGATCATCCGCACTGCGGCCTCCAAGGACCCTCACACAGCTTTGTATGATGCTGACCTGTCCGAACACGTCATCGTTGTGTTGGACTGGTCACACCAGCTGGGCATGGCAATGTTCACCGCACACTACCACAGCGACGGAGACAACAAACCAGAGTCAATGATAGTCAATGGACGAGGCAGATACTTCAACGACACAGAGGCGCTAACTGATACGCCACTGGCGTTATTCACGGTCAAAAAGGTACTAGATATTCAAATTATTTAGAAATAAAACATTACATAGATTTAATGTAAAATGCTGAATTAATGGTTTCATTTAAAGCGAAAAACAAAATTAAAAACATTCTTGGAAATCCAAAAAGTAAATTAGAAAATACATCAAAATCTGGCATTTATCAAATTCAGTGTGACAGTTGTGAGATGAAGTATGTTGGACAAACAAAAAGAAATATTAAAACTAGATTCAAAGAACACACTTCTCACATAACACACAACAGACCTGAAAAATCAGCAATAGCAAAACATTGCTTAGAAACGGACCACACAATATCAATCAATAATACTAAATTACTAAAAAATATAACAAAATCCAATGAACTAAATGCATGGGAATCATTATTTATAAATAAAATCGACAATTTGGTAAATAATGATAACGGTCCAATTCAAAATGTTACATTACTAAATTCTAAATTTACAAAGTTATAAGTTAATTCTACTTGATATTTCATTTTTATACATATATGATTTATTTTTGTAACTTTAGCTAAACGTGCTTAACAGAATAGTTTTTATTTTTAACTACCCATATGTTATATTCTTTAAAATTTATAATTGTAAACATAAACATAACCTTCAGTTTTGTGATGTGTCTGATGATGCCAGCATAGCTGGCGAAAGGCCTCATAAAAATTAAAATTTCAGATATATTGGCGAAGTTATTATTTCAAATTAGTATTAATTCCAATATAAACAGTTCTTCAAGTTCTTACATAGATTGATACAACAAAACACTTCGAAGTTTGGTCCTTGCAAAGCCAATCTCGAGGTAACAATAACAAATAAACAAACATTTTGTAAAAAGAAACAAATAACCAAAAGAAGATTCATTCATTTATTCTTTAATCCGGCAGAATATTTACAAAAAATGTAAAAAACATATCCGATGAAATATAACATCAAATGTTTAAGTTAATTGTTGTACTAAGATTTAGGAATGATCCCACTAAGCACTAAGCAAATTCAAAAGAAAAAGATTAAGGAGATAACTTATCAATCAATTAATTATGAGTGAAATGGAATGGTAGTAATAATCAATCAATCAGTCTTTATTTGCCATAAGGATACATTTACATATCATTGACAAAGTCTATTTGCATTTATCAAACCAAGTCTTAACATAAACAACAAAATACTCTTACAGGCCAAATATTACAACATTCACATTCTTTACCGAAATGAAAACCAAACTAAAGGACAATTTCTCCCAGTTTAAAATAATCATCCAGACTATAAAAAGGGTTTTGAAGTAGATAATTATGAAACATAGCCTTCAATTTGTTAATTGAATGAATATTTATATTATTTTTTACTGAATTATACACTTTAATTGATAAAATTATGTGGCAATTACTAGTTTTACTAAGGCGATGGGATTCTAACAGCGCAGTATTTTTAGAACGAGTGTTGTGACTGTGATTATTAAATTGAAGATATTCAGGGTTTTTTAATATATAAACAATCAGATCATAAATGTTCAGTAATCCTTGAACAAAATTATTAAATATCAGAATCAAGTTAACAATTATGTAAAGAATTGGTCATTCATTAAGCCAACTCACCCCATTAAGTAAACCAACCGCATAAAGTATATGTTGTCTAATGTGTTTACAATGTTTTCTATGGTATTTACCATTATTAATGAAATATCAATTTGTTAAATTATACCTTTGGTATCCAAAACTCTATGCTTGTAAATTAATTTTCTAACTATAAATTGCAAGAAGTCTCTAGTGTTATTAAAAAATACAGTACTATAAAAATATTTTGACATGAAACCACTTTTGCTTTAAACATTAAGTAGAACAATATTTCCAGGGGCTGAGGTACAGGTTTAGATTGATCAACGCAGGAGTACAGAACTGTCCCATAGATCTGGCTATTGACGGACATTCGCTAACTGTCATCAGCAGTGACGGTTCAGATGTGAAGCCAAAGACAGGTCAGTAGTCGTAGCTATTATAGAAATAGGCTATATCAAGTAGTAAGAACCAAGAAACGATCTTGATTCTTGAAATCTATTTGTTATCAACTAGAGGACCCATGCTGCTCCGCAGCATTGAAATAAATATCATATCCGAGAAATAATAGGAAAATTTATGATTTTTGATTGAGTAATACAGTACAATCCATAGCTCAAATGAACACCTATAATTTACTGATTATTTTGAGTCTAAAACATATAAAAACAAACAATACTGGAGCTATTGATTTTTAATCATAGAAAAACCTTATAAAATACCCCCGCTGCAGCAAACCTGCCGACTAAGCGAATTTCTATTTACCTGGATTGATTTTCAATTAATCTATTAAATTAACATTTATGTTTAACGAGTACCTAGGTTTGCTGCTACAGGGAAACTAATAAAGTGTGTTTTTATTAAAATATTATTAGCTTAGTATAAAATTCAAACAACAAACAAAACAATAAACAATTTAGTCCATTCCATTCTCAAAGATGGTTCATTTTTTTACCAACCGTTGCTACATTTTCATCTAAACATTTTCAGTGGATTCACTTGTGTCGTACGCCGGGGAGAGGTGGGACTTTGTGTTGGATGCTGATGCAGAGGTTGGCAACTACTGGATGCGCTTCACTGGACTGATGGACTGCGACGAGAGATTCACCAAGGCTCATCAATTGGCAATCCTGCGGTATGAAGGAGCCCCTGCAGAGGAGCCTCAAGGACCTGTCGGCTACAACGTACATCCAAAGAGGGAACTGGTAGGTCTATTGTCAACTGTAATGTTACTAGTTTACAAACATATGGGGATTGAGCTGGTCTCGTGGTAGAGCATGGGACTTCCGTCCAAGTGGTACTGGGTTCAGTCCCGCCAAATCACCAATGGATTTGATCTAAATGATGATGCAGGAACCCCTAGGTCTAGCCTGAAATAATGTGAAAAACAATCTTGGGCTAATAGAGCCTAGCATCCTAGGACAAAAAAAGTTTGAATCATATACAAGAGTGGTTTGCTTGCAAATGGTCCATTAAAATTGTTTTCAAAACCTAAAAAATAAACCTGTAGAAATTCAGCAACATTAAATAAACTTTCAGCAAATAATTGTCATAGTCTTCTGTAGCTTAAGCTGAAAATTGTAAAATGAACATGTATTCTTCCAACACTCAAAAATATTGTATGGTAATCGAAATTATGAAAATCCCAACATCTTTGTCTATATTCTGGTTCCTATTTTCTTGCACTCTTTAATGTTCCTTTAGACTTGTCCAAAACAGTCACAATGAGCTTCGATGTGCTGTTGCAATAAGAAGCTTGTACTCGCTTATAAAGATATTTTAATGTATTACAGTGAATAAATTGAGTTGGTTTGTGATTCTGATTCACGTTTGTACTGGACCCCCAAAATGTCCATCAAAGGTCATTACAAAAAATGGATACGTGAATACAAAAACAGCACTGAGTTTGAAGCATTTATTTTCTTGGGACTGATTCGCATTTGGAATAAAACATGGAAATCAATCATGACTATATTCTAGACTTTAAAATCCATTCTTTTTTCCTCAGCAACTGAACGCACTGAATGTAGCCTTGAAGGAGGAAGGGACGCTTAGCGTACCTCACCTCGAGGCCATGGATGAATCCTACGATGTAGCGTTGAAGCCAGAGGCAGACCAACAAGTCTACATAGCCTACGACTTCTATGCGAAGGACAATCCTCACTACCACAAGTCCAAACTGTACGGCTTCTCTGAAGGTAAGATCAATACTTCGTGATATCTGAAAAAATACCTGCAAGCAGCCAGGCACTGCCATTGAATTGACCAGTGCCGACAAAGTCTTGGGGACACAGTAGCGTACATGACTAAGTATGCGCTTGCATTCATCGATTGTTATAAAATAGCAGCCAATTTTTTTAGCTATCATCCAAAACCAGTGCAACTAGCTTAAGAATGAATACAAATTTTATCAAATTTGATCTTCAGAAAATTTGAGTTTTCATTTATTCGGTTTGTTATGCTTTCAGACACTCGAAATAGCATTTACTGTATTTCAATGAGGATAAAATATTTACTCTATCTATTAAATTGTTAATCACCTTTAAAATAGGTAGTTAATTAATTACCTTAAATAATTCATCATAATTTGTCTGTTGTCATTTATATGCTATAACTTTGCTGCAAATGTATGACAGAACCATCCAAATTGTTTTCGAATAGTGTCTCATATGTTACCTAAAAAAAAATTCACAATTCTGACTGTGCAAAAAACATATTTGAACAAATTGAAAAGATGCTAAAGAGCAATCCTTTAAAGTTGGATAGACATAAAGTATATTAGTGCATAAGTCACAAAGGTATATTTTTTTACGACATAATCTGATTGCAGTTTCCAAGAAGGAGCGTGTGTACACTCCACAGTTTAACGACATATCCATGAAATTGCCGCACTTCCCTCTACTCTCGCAATACCACAACATTGACCAGAACACATTCTGCGATCACCAGACACTCGCTAACTGCAACGCCACCTTCTGTCAATGTACCAACATCATCAATGTTCCGCTCGGCAACGTTGTCGAGATCATTCTCATCGATAAAGGTGAGTGGCGTATTAGTCTAATACGTAGTCTAATTTTACAGTATATGTTGAGTCGAAGAGTTAAGTTCCTGTTATCAATTAATGTAAGTTTCTGTCCCTAGACATTATTTAAGGTAATTGTCAAGTTCTTGTGCAATTTATTGAGGGTCAACCTTCAAAAAAACTTTAATTTTTACTTTCTCCCCCTATACCATAGTACGGTATATGGAGAAAGTATTGTTTTCGTCAACATTTTTGAGTTTGAGTTTTGAGTGGATATTTGTTTTGGGTCCCCCTGGACCGAAAAAAGTGGTTTTCGAAGTGATGTCTGTGTGTGTGTGTGTCTGGATGTGTACAGAGCTAGGGACTACACCTGTGGTCCGATTTCAATGAAATTTGGTATGTAGGTTCTAATCCATGGTATCTCCAAGCGTATTTTCATTTTTTTGAAATTTTGATTTTTAATGGGCATTTTCCAATAAAAACCCACAAACAACCTGAAAAATAGGATTTTCTCAAAAATGGCCCAAAACGATTTTGATAAAAATTTAGTATGTTGTAGCCCTTTAAATTCTGAACAAAATGGTACAAACCCCATCTGTGTAAAAATTACGGTACAAAAGTTATTGTAAATTATGATATTATCCCATAAAAACCCCATAAAATAACAAAAAATAGGATTTTAGAAAAAAATCCAGTTTTGATTCAACATAGTATGTTATGGTCCTTACAATTATGATAGTTTTTTAATTTTTTAGAAATTTTGATTTTTAATTGGGATTTTCCCATAAAACCCCATAAAATAACGGAAAAATAGGGTTTTCCCAAAAATGGCCTGAACGATTTGGATAAAAATTTAGTATGTTATAGTCCTTTACATTCTGAACAAAATGGTACAAATCCTATTTCTGTAAACATTACGGTTCAAAAGTTATTGTAAATTATGTTATTTTCCCATAAAAACCCCATAAAATAACAGAAAAATCGGATTTTCTCAAAAATTGCCTGAACGATTTTGATAAAAATTTAATGTTATAGTCCTTTAAATTCTGAAAAAATTGTACAAGTTATTGTAAATTATGTTATTTTCCCATAAAATAACAGAAAAATCGGATTTTCCCAAAAATGGCCTGAACGATTTTGATAAAAATTTAATGTTATAGTCCTTTAAATTCTGAAAAAATTGTACAAATCCCATTTCTGTATATTTACTCTCACCGCTTACCCATGACAAAGGTTGTTGACAAACTTATGGGAGAAAGTATGTGTCAGAATGCTGATACCGTTTATTTAGTTTTGTTACACAACTTTGAAATCATAATAAGTACTGTATTATTTAACACATACAAATTTACACATCCTGGAATATTTGTAAGTGTTATCTCAATGATATGATTATCCAAACCACCAACTGACCAATTAGTTTTGATAATTGACACTCTACTTTGGTAAAAAAATAAAACTTCAATAAAAACAAATCTTCATTTTGATTATGGCTTATGAGAGAGATTATTCAGAAAAACCATGTTTAATAGCAAACACAAAAATGGAACTGAAAAAATCAAATGGAAACTCAACAATAAATTATATAAGCGTTAATTATCCTTAAAACAAATATTCTAAATCAAATACCATAGCAAAACAATTTTGCTAATTTTGATAGTTTATACCCGCGGCTTTTTACTCTTGGTCAAGAAGTAGTGTATGTTAAAGGAAACTTGTTACTTTCAATCCAAAGCAGTTTTATCTAATTCTACAGGAGTCACGTACAACGCCAACCACCCGTTCCATCTTCACGGACACCCGTTCCGGGTAATAGGAATGGACAGGTTGGGTGAGACTGTTGACGTGGAAAAGGTGAAAGAGCTGGATCAAGCCAATATGCTTGTACGGAACTTCACCCGACCTCCCATCAAAGACACTGTCACGGTTCCCGATGGAGGATACACCATACTGAGAGTTCACGCTTCTAACCCGGGTAAGTTCTTGAAGTTTAATCATAAAAATTGTAATGCAACAATTTTATTTAACAAGTTACAAAGGCGATGGAGTTATGTGAGTATCTACCAATTACCAATGGCATGTTAAAAGAAGGTATTACAAACGCGTAAGTGGACCGAGGATCAAAGCTAACCCTCTCGCTGAAGACTGAGACGCTAACCACTAGGCTAGCAATTCACACCAAGGAAAAAACAGCTTTTTAACCTATATACTGAATACAATAAGGGGTTTCTCTGTTATATTCATTTTTAAGCTGTCTTACTAAACCGATTTTTACGATTCAGGAGTCATTATAAAGCTTATGATCTTGCGGAGTGATGGATGACCAAAGAGGTTATTTCCTTTAGGGCTTAGCCCCCTCTAGCGTTTGATTGTTTTTATAGTTAGCTTTCAAGGATTCAGTGAATGATGCTTTTGGAGTTAACATTACTACAACAACTTAATCCTAATATTCTCTTGACAGGTTACTGGCTGTTCCACTGCCATATAGAGTTTCATGTGGAGGTTGGAATGGCGCTGGTCTTAAAAGTCGGGGAACATTCTGATTTCGAACCAGTTCCAAAGAACTTCCCGAAATGCGGAGACTATTTCAGCGACATCGACAATCAACATAAGCCCAGAGCAGAAATTGACTTCCATCATGAAAACTCAATTGATTACAATGTAACATTGGGAGAGGTGGCTAAAGAAGATTCATTCATTTCATTCACTCATTGGTGGTCATCGTTCAATGGAACGTTCGCCTCAAGTTCTGCAGGAACAAATTCCTTCTCTTTGTTCTTAGTTACTCTGATCACAGTTCTAAGAATAGTCGTGCTTTAGAACTCAAGAAAATCTGACTGTTGTAAATATTATATTTATTTTTGTAAATATGTAAAAAACTGTTTTTACCATAGCTTTAAGGAAAGTGATATAGTTTGTAATAAAGAAACAGTATTTATTTTGAGATTTAAAACTGTGTTTTTTTTTCAATAATTTGAATTTGTCCTCCTTATCATTAAAGGAACACTTATGTAAGCTTTTGGTATTACTTTACAAAGGAACGAGATTTATGAGTATGAATACATGTTTTTTTTTCTTTCTGTTAAGGGTGCGGTTAAGTAGGGCTTCTAACGTGTGGGAATGGTGTTCTCACCCTGATTTTCCAAAAAAATGTTGTTTTAATAGGCGAACCCTGTTTTCTTGAGACGATGGTGTGTCTTCCCGCACTGCAAAATTTACGACTACGCCCCTGCGTAGAGGTAAATTTGAAAATATTAAAGACGTAATGAAACTTCATGGGAGGTGAAAATAATGTTTCTAGCCTGCTTCATTTTTTCAAGTGACATTTGTAACTTTAACAAAAAAAAAAGCTTTTTGGGAGAAAAAATAATGAACCCATTGTCATCACTAGTAATAATTCCGATGATTTAGTTTGTTCCAACCAAACAAAAGTAAGATATCTAGTTTACACACATGCTATGATTTTACACATTCCTTGTAAGGCCTCCTTATAAGAAAATTGATGACCAAAAACCTTCTACTTTCCTTAATAATGAAGGGAAATGTTATGCCAAATAAAAACTATGAACGCAAAACAATATCTTCTACGACTTCAAATTGTTTACAATCTTTGATTACAACATACTTTTTAAAAATAAATAAATTTGTTCAGCAATTTGCTTGATTAAATAAGGCAAATAATTTCTACTTGCAGTTGGTACAAAATATATTTATAAAATATCAATTAGAAGCTAAAATATTAAATATTTGTGTAGAGTAAATATATTACATTCTCAAACTACAAAATGAATTTTGCGCATTAACAACGAATAAAGCTGGGATAACTATTTACAAGAAACTTTTCCGTAGTCAGGATGAGACATATCTTTCATCATTTTCATGAGTCGTTCTTCTACTTGGTGGCTGTCCAACTGGGAAAGGTTGAGAGAAAAATTGCAGATCTTTTTAGTGATCGTGTTGAAAACATCTGATCGTTAAGTTAAGGAAATACCATTGTATACATCATTATTATTTCTAAAAAGGCTCTAAGTCTGACTTTCACAAAAGCATTGTATAATAGTATGTATCGTGACAATTAGAGTGGCAAGCAGGATGAACAGGCACACAAAAACCCTTCCCCATCTTCACATTTTTTGTTATGTTGTACGGTCACCTCAAAAACTAGGATTGCTTTCATAGCAGTTGAGCGATCATGTTTCATGATTTTCAATAAAGCATTAAATAAAAAATATTTATATATATAATACAAAATACAACTATTTTATCAATTTAACTTATCAGTTTCGCTCAGAACTATCAACATCTATAACAAGTTTCATAAGTAAAGATGTGGACATTACATACATATACATTGTATTGGTATTTTCCCTGTGTTTGCTTGGTAAGGTCATCTGTTAAACCCACGGTTCTGGTTGAACCCGACCTTGAACCTAAACCAATCAACATTTTCTCAAACTTGGCCAGATTTTGCAATCCAGGCAGAAATAATCCTGCATAGATCCATACGATTAGTAAAGGTGTAACTTTTTAAATACTTGTCTGCTTTGAGAATTGCACAAATATTTGTCACCTGAGAGGTTTGTTACTTATGAGGTTTTTTTATTTAATTTTGTACATTTAACATATTTATGAAAAGCATTGTTTTCAAGCAAGTGTTCTACATTCAGCTAATTCTGAAATTTTTCTTAATATGACACTCTTATGCGAATTTGGTATTTTCTTGTAAAACAAAAACGCAAAAAATACTTATCCTTCTTGGGCAATAATATACCCCAAGCCGTTGCCAACACAACAACCAATACAAGTGTGTTGCCAACACGATGATATCATGAAAAATGTTTCAAAGTAAATAATAAGAAAGCATGTTCAACATAGCCTATTTAGATAAAAATATTAATTTGAGAATACCTCGTTATTTAAAATTTCAGAATCAAGTAGTTGTTTTAATTCCCAATAACATAACATAAATGTTATTTATTGTAAACCTTATTTAGATACGTAAATCAAAACTGAAAAATACTGTACCTATTCCATCAGTGGTCGTTTCCAAATTGCGTCTTGAATGTAAACTTAAAGACTTTCTCTGTATTATTTGATTAGTGGTCATCATCAGAATTTTTTCCCTTTGTACTGTATTTAGATCGTGGATTGATTTTAACATCCTTATATAAAATACGTGAAGGTGATTTCTACGAAACACTACTTAATAATGGACGGATTTTTACAAACGACAGTATTTTTTGTGTAGACGCCAGCACTAATTCCTGTAATAAGATTTCTCGGGCTTTGCCCCACAGGCTATCAAAATCCCAATGCATTTCTTATGAAGAAAAGATTTTGTTTATTTAACAGACGAATAATTTTTATTAATTACAACTGTTCATAGCATACATATATGATACACACAAAAGCGTTCGTTTTCAGAGTGAGTTAGTTTTTTCGGTTTCAATAACTGGAGTGGAGTGAGCGTTCGTTTTCAGTTTTGATAACAACTGTAGTGGAGTGATTGATTACATTATTTTTGAGTTGAATATTTTAAGTAATCGGAAATTATGACTGTTATTCTTTTTAAAATAACGCATGGAATACTTTGCAGAGGCCAAATACCACCAAGGGTATCCATTGCCATGGGAGTAAGTAAGAGTATTGGTAACGTAGAAAATAAAAAAATTGTAAATTTAAAATTCCTATGTTATTCTAATGGAGAATATTGTAAAATGTTGTAGTTTGCTTCTTTATGGATATACTGTATTTTGATCAAACTTGGCAAATTTATTTATTTTATACTAAGCTATTATATTTTACTAAAAACACACTTTATTAGTTTCCTTGTAGCAGCAAACCTAGGTACTCGTTAAACCAAATGTTACTTAAATAGATTTAATTGAAAATCAATTCAGACAAATGGAAATTCGCTTAGTTGGCAGGTTTGCTGTGGCGGGGTATTTTACATTTACGTTGTTATTTTGTAACCATCATGGCAACCCATAAGGTGAATGTTTATATTTAAAATTTTAGAGTTTTAAATTATACATGCATTATCAAAAATTGAAATTGGTTTCGCCTTAGCTTTCCAAACATTTGACAAAACAACCTTGTTAAATTTGGCTACAATATGTTCAGCCGTTATTGAGTTAATGTGTTGGAAGGTTTCCATTGAAGTTGATCCCAAAGAGCTTCGCTTCGCTCCGCTCAATTAATTACTGTTGGATTAATAATAAAACTAGCATCTAATGGTGTGACTTTTAGTGTTGTTGGGAGTATTTCCCTCGTCCCTCCTACTCACCAAAGTAATTGACAAGACCTTACTCACCATCTTAATTGACAGGACCCTAATTATTTGTAAATAACACTTTTTTAGAAAGCTAATTTTAATTAATCTTTTTTTGAGAAAGGCAATATCTTCAATAAAGTGACTGGGATGGTGGCGTCGTCCTGTAATCCAGCTCACAAATTGTGGATATTTATGGGCATGCACTGTGGATGCGATGCTCCCTGGTGTGGATTAACGTCCGCACTAGTGAGTACTACGAATATCTGCAGTACTATCCTGATAATTAGACCAATTCGTTAATTACAAGGAAAAAATGTGGTTCGGATTCCACTATAAACTGTAGGTCCCAATGGCTGTTGTATGGGCCATTAATTAACAGCTGTGTCTAAAGAACATGTCGGCCTTAGTCACTAACAAGACTACAAGATCTATGGACTCATCCTACACTCATTCTTCACCCATATTTGGGTTAAAATTTGCACTTAGTGGCGTCCTCCCCTTAAATAATTGATTGATACCATCCCTAGCTCCCTACCTATAATTTTAACAAATAAAAGATAGGTAAACTGTGTCCCTGCCGAGTTGATCTTTGAGTTCAGTTATCAACAAAAGAGAAGAAGCACATGTTTAGGACAGAATTAACACCAACATCAAATTTCATGCCCTATGTTGTGACCAGCCATGTAATTTTATTTAACCATTATAACCTACTAAGTAATAATATTTAAGCTATAACTACAACTTTAAACTATGGAAGCCACTTACAATCCAGTTGTGAAGTATGAGTTAAAAGTGTTTAAAGGATACGACCCGCAAGAATCACATCATCTGATTTCTCATATGAAAACCGCACCTGAATTATGTTGCGCAGACATTTGTACTGAAGCCTGTAACAAGATAAACGTTTACAAAATCAGGAGCTAAATGAATTCTGATAGGCTATATCAATTAAACATGAGACTCAAGTTTTAAGGACATCAGACCATTTGTTACCATAGATCAACCATAGTAACAATACCAGAAACAATTAGCCTAGAGTATTAAAGGATTTGTTTTTCTTATTAAGTTTGGGTCTAAAAATCCAGTGATGTCACAGAAAATGTATAGAAGCTCAGTAAAATTGTTCAGTCATATCCAACTCAATGTTTTTTAAAAAAATTCTATAACAGGCTATTAAAAAATCACTTTTATTCTCTCTCCGAGGTTTTTTTTAGGAGAAGAACATTGTGTTTTTAGTTTGTAAGTTTACTGTATATCCATGCATATGTTTTATGACCTTAAATTGCTTAGATTCTTGACTATATTGCTGTAGAGTAGGCCTGTTCACAAAATGTAGGCGGTTAGAGGAGAAGCAATTCCATCCCCTCCATCTCACCCTAACTTTGAAACAATACCCAACAGCTGATCAGCTGATTAATGAATTAGGCTAAGATAAAAAATTGGTGGGAAACCAGGACACCTTCCCCTTGACCCACCTAAATACAAATATAATGTTTTCTATTCTTAATGTTGGTTTTACTGAAGCAGGCCTATCAAACTTACAGAAAGCTATGTATCCAAATTCAAATGTGCTACTCGGTACACAAAAGATAAAAGAAAACCTACTTTGTAACCAAATTTGCTAGATTTGAAACTTAAGTATTTTACATAACTTGCAGAATCTCTTTATATTTTTTTATTGTTATTTTATTTTAATCTCTTGTATTATTTGACAACATTAAATTGCTATACAGACAACGCCAAAGAACACAAAAAACACATACCGTACCGTATGCAGTATAAAAGGAAAAGTATTTTGTACTTGTCGGGAAAAAAGATATAACAGAAACTTTATTCAGCTTATAGGATTTGTTAAGGATAACAAAACAAATTTTAATTTTACTTACTTTGTTCTTTCTACCATTTCCTCATCATGAGAATTGAGTTTAGCTTTTGCAAGCAAAGTCAGCTGATTTTTTAAGTCAGATTTCTTTCTAAAAACAACCTCTTTGTGATGGTTGAAGTTCTCCTGAAATAAATACACTCTTTAACAAATAGAAACCCCAAATCAACCAACTTATTCAAATGAATTTTGACAACGAATTTACACAAATATGGGAAAACCACAATTTTTACCTCATAAAACCCCCGTTCCATGGTCCGATCATGCTGGTTCCCGAACTCGTTCCAATAAACGTAACGTAGGTTTACAGGTTTGTACCAAATTTCATCAAAAGCTGATCATTTTTGCTCGAGTTATGGTGCTAACAGACATATAAATATATGAATTTGAACGGATGGTGTTTTTGGCCTCTAGGGACCTCAAAACGAAAAAGTAAATCCATCCCGGGTCTAGGTCTTACCATGAGACCTACAGTAATAGCTTATTTCCTATATGGGAAATTTGCTAAAATTCCCTATATGGGAATTCGCTAAAAATCGGTGTCATCATGATATTCATATTTAGCAATAGCTTAAATACAGTAGACTCCTTCTTATCCGGACTCCTCGGGACCGAGGCCAGTCCAGATAACGGTTTTTCCAGTTAAACGGACGTCCCCAAAAACTTGTTGAAACGGACCGTTTAAATGCATAGATACTGTATACAGTATTTTACTTAAATTTAGGAGAGCATTGTATTTAAACACGTGATCAGTGGTATAAAATCTTATTTCATATTTACGCCAACCCAAATTCAAATAGTAAATATTTCATTTCAACCAAGTAAGTAAATGTTTGTAGCAAACGTATTGACTGTTTACAATTAACACATGTTCTTCTTCTCACTTTTAATTTCTGTCAACAGCTGGAGTTTCATAACAATTTTTGTTTCCCATGTTAATCTTATAGAGAAATTTGAAAATTTACAGAGCCCCAGGGCCTCACTCTCTAATTATTTCCATAAAAAGAAAGTTTCCTGAACAACTTCACGTTACGCTCTTCCCAATGACGCCAAAAACATGTCAATCGGTTCAGTAGTTTTGGAGGAGTAATTGTCACAAAAAAACCTGCTTGCGTATTAAATAAGTACTAGTGTCGCTGTTGCTTGAATTCGAGCAATTACTAAGTATTACAGGCGTTATTTTAAAAGGAATAACAGTCATTCTGAACACTTTAAAAGATTCAACTCAAAGATTATGAAAATACTCTTAAGATGTACATAACAGATCGATATAATCAACATTTCTTGTAAATATCTTATCATTTTTCAAAAGCTGATTTTTTTTAAAGCTTGTTTTTTAGTGTTTTTTACAAATAGCCTTACTCATAGCTGCAGAATGTCCATATAAATTATAAAAAAAACATTGTTTCTGTTTCTTCTCCTTGGTGGTGTTCTATGACTTTCCTATGTTTCCATAGGAAACAAATCATCTCAAATTCAAAATTCAAATTCTTTATTTACTCATCACATCTCTTTCATTTCATTTTTTTTTTTTTTTTTTTTTTTTTTATGATTAATAAGAAATGCAGCACAGTGTTAATTTTACACTGGATTTTCTTTATAGTATATCAATTTGATTGTGGAATTGGTTGTTAACATAGGTTCTGCAATTTTTTACATCAACAATATATTTTCAACTCCTTTAACAGGGTAGGGGGTGGGGGTGACATATTTTTTTCAATTTTCAATAACAACCCCTAGGGTCAATCCATTTCAAGTGGTCCAAAGGTGGTTGCTTCATGATATTTGTTTTTTTTTCATATTTTTATCCTTGAAAGTACATGTCATAAGAAGTACAAAAATACAATTATTTTATTTTTATTATTTTTTCCAACCGTATGGCGGCCATTTTCTCTTTGCTCGAATGCCCGTTTTCAGCGATTTCAGAGTTCTGCGTCAAATTAAATATCTCCGCTTCTACAAATCCTAGAACATTGAAATAAAAACCAATCTCTTCAGAAAGATCTAAACTTTAATATGGTAATATAATTATGCACTTTAAACTAAATATGTAGGTCTAATTACCTGTTTGAAGTTTGATGAGACGGTGTTACGAAAATTGATTTTTAACATTTTTTTTTACATAAAGGCAACTGACTATGTGTTTGTTATTTTTTTATTTGATAGTTGTATATGTGTACTCCAAATTCTCAAAGTTTCAAGTTGTGGACTTGCATAGGGTCTTAAATAAAAGATTTCAAAATCTTAAAATTTTTGAAAATTTCAAATTTTGATGTTTAATATCTCTGTTGGGCATGAAAATAAAAATTTCAAATTTGGCTCAGATTTAGTACTAAGTAAGAGCATTATTCTGTAAAAATTTTATTTTGTGGACTCAACTGGTTTCAAAGTTGTGAAACGTTGAAAGTACTAAAATAAGCATTAGACCTGTAATAGCGTAGGAAGCATATAACACACTATCGAAGTATTTTTAAATAATCTTATATTTAAATAAATATTATATTGCCCTGTTGTATAGTTTTCCATGAAAAATAAACTCAACCTTAGTAAGTAATATTTAAAAAAAGTTCCCTAATTTGTTATGTAAAACCAGACAATTTGTTTTTAGCATAAACCCATTGCTTTGCGTCTTGAAGGCTATAGAGCATCATTAAACTTTTTTTATCCAAACAAGTCAGTCACAAGTACTAATAGCTGTGTCAGGACATAAAAGTTGCATGCAGGGACATGAAACTATCATGCAGGGACATGAAACTATCATGCAGGGACATGAAACTATCATGCAGGGACATGAAACTATCATGCAGGGACATGAAACTTTCCTGTCTGGACATGCAACTTTCGTGTCTGGACAAGTGTAGTCTGAGCTGTGCTATGATAAATGGTCAGTCTCATTTCATCTGCCAATGCATTAGGATGTGTAGTGCCATTTAGCTTGAAACAGTTTTTTTATGTCTTGGTTAATTCTTAAGTATGGAGTGTTGTGTTGGAAAATATATTAAAGAAGAGTGTCATAAGAGTGTCTATGGAGATGTACCTAAAGAAATCAAAGCAATTAGTGACTATAGTGATAGTGAGCAACAAATGTTAAAGTTCAGAACAAGTAATAGCCTAGAAAATATATGTAAGTACCATGAAATCAAATTTTTAGACAAATACTTTCATCTTTATGGCAGAACATGTTGTGATCCCCTAAGACATCATAAAAAACCTGTAAAAAAGAGCTTAAGGGAAATAACTTTATCACACTTATCCAGACCAAAAAGTACTGAAGTGAACCTCATACCAGGGAAAGCATTATGCTCAACCTGTAATAAGAAACTTTTTAAGATCACTGACAATGGAGATGAAGATCCTTTAGACAGTTTAAACGATCCAAATTTTGAAAATCCAGAAACGATTCATGTTGTCGATCAGACTTGTTCTGCTTTAGGTATATCACCAGCCTCTAAGATTAGAAAATTAAGTTCAGACAAAAGGCCAAGTGCCATTGAAGCCAAAATAGGTAAAATTTCCGAAACTTTAAAAAGGAAATTGTATGCTAATCTAGATGAAGACCTTGAGTGTTTAGCTGACCCTTTACAAATTCAAAATGAAAACCAATTTGACTGTAATGAGTGTGAGGAACTTATACTTAAGTTGAAAGAAAAATGTCAGGTTTCCAACAAAGAAGAAAAAATTAAAATAATAAGTTTATTACCACCTTCATGGTCAAGAAACAAAATTAGCGAAGAATTTAAAGTTTCGGAACGTCTGGTCAAACTTGCTAGAGACCTAACTAAAAAGCAAGGTATTATGCCTGACTTATCTAAAAGAAAAAGTAGTAAGACTCTTTCTTCAGAAACAATCAGAAAAGCTACAGAATTCTATTTGTGTGAAGAAAATAGTAGAATTTGTCCAGGTAAAAAAGATTGCGTGGCTGTTCGTATTGATGGAAAATTGGAGCATAAACAAAAACAGCTCCTTTTGTGTAATTTGAATGAGCTATTCGTTAAGTTTAAGGAAACTTATCCAGATATTAAAATTGGTCGCTCCAAATTTTGTGAACTGCGACCCAAGTGGTGTATAATAGCAGGAGCTTCAGGAACACACAGTGTCTGTGTTTGTTCCTATCACCAAAACATTAAGCTTATGATAGACGGAGCAAAACTTAATGTTAATTACAAAGATTTGATGGAAGCATTAGCGTGTGATGTAAATAAGTATGAATGTATGATGGGTGAATGTGAGGAATGTGGAGATGAAAACGCACTTGTAAATACATTTTTAGAGTCAGATGAAATAAATGAAATGCCTGATGATATAGTTTACAAACAATGGGTCACTGTTGACCGTGCAGAGATGGTCACAGTGACAAAGCCTCGAGAAGAGTTTTTTGAATCACTCGTAAGGAAAGTGAATGAGTTAAAAGCCCACCACTATGTTTCCAAAATTCAGTCAGCCTCATTTAAAGACACAAAGGGTTCTCTGACCAAGGAAGAGTGTGTCGTTGTAGCCGACTTCTCTGAAAATTTTAGTTTCGTGGTACAAGATGAGATCCAGAGTTTTCACTGGATTAACAAACAGGCTACCGTACACCCCTTTGTCTATTACTATATTGATGAAGACTCTGGACTGGTAAAAAACCGTAGCCTTTGCGTCATAAGCAACCATCTGCAGCACAACACAGCAGTAGTCCATACGTTTCAAAAATATCTTATTGAAGACATAAAAAATAATGTGCCTGCCATCAAAAAGATTATATATTTCACTGATGGATCAAGTAGCCAGTACAAAAACAAAAAAAACTTTCTAAATCTATGCTACCATGAAAATGATTTTGGAGTTCCAGCTGAGTGGCATTTCTTCGCTACTGCGCACGGAAAAAATGCTTGCGATGGTGTAGGCGGCACTACAAAGAGGGAAGTGACAAAAAAGAGTCTACAATGTACTACTGACAACCAAATTTTGAATGCAAAGGATATGTTTGACTTTTGTTCAAAAAGCCTTAAAGGTATTCAATACGTTTATGTAGACAGTGAAGAAGTGGTAAAAAATGAATTAGAGCTACAAGTTCGATTCAAAGGATGTTTACTAATTCCCGGAACACGATCCTTTCATAGATTTGTACCTGTAGCGGAAAACAAGGTAGAGTGTTTTAAAACATCAAAATGCTTAAAATCTTTTGAGATGCTGACATCAAAGAGTGTTTCATTTCATTTGGAGGAAGACGATATTGTTGCCTGCATATATGATAAACAATGGTGGATTGGAAAGATACAATCTGTAAGCCTGGAACACAATGATTATTTTGTTCACTTTTTTTAACCTTCTGGACCACGAACTTCATTCAAATTAAGCATGAGAGATGAAGCATGGGTCCCCTTAAGTAATGTATTGAGAAAGCTCACACCATTAGAGCTTACCACAGCAACAGGGCGGACCTACAATATTACACAAGCATTGTGTGATGAAATTTCACAGCTCCTCAATGCCATGTAGATATAAAAATGAAAGTAAGTTAATTATCATGTAATACTACATTTATTTTCGTATTATAAGAGAAGACATACTGAAAATATGTATATATATAATATTACAGCGTTAGGTTTGTTATACTTGTTTTAGGACTTTTCAATATAACTTTGGAACCAGTTGAGTCCACAAAATAAAATTTATACAGGATAATACTCTTACTTAGTACTAAATCTGAGCCAAATTTGAAATTTTTATTTTCATGCCCAACAGAGATATTAAACATCAAAATTTGAAATTTTCAAAAATTTTAAGAATTTGAAAATTTTTATTTAAGACCCTATGCAAGTCCACAACTTGAAACTTTGAGAATTTAGAGTACATATATACAACTATCAGATAAAAAAATAACAAACACATAGCCAGTTGCCTTTATGTAAAAAAAAATGTTAAAAATCAATTTTCGTAACGCCGTCTCATCAAACTTCAAACAGGTAATTAGACCTACATATTTAGTTTAAAGTGCATAATTATATTACCATATTAAAGTTTAGATCTTTCTGAAGAGATTGGTTTTTATTTTAATGTTCTAGGATTTGTAGAAGCGGAGATATTTAATTTGACGCAGAACTCTGAAATCGCTGAAAACGGGCATTCGAGCAAAAAGAAAATGGCCGCCATACGGTTGGAAAAAATAATAAAAATAAAATAATTGTATTTTTGTACTTCTTATGATTTGTACTTTCAAGGATAAAAATATGAAAAAAAAATAAAAATCATGGAGCAACCAATTAATTTATTTCTGGACCACTTGATATGGATTGACCCCCTATTGAGTGAACCCCAGCCTAAATGGCGGCTATTCCAAAATTTAATTTTTGTAAAAAAGCATCCATTTTGGAATACCGCCATTTTGGCTAAGGGTGAGATATTCACCTCGGATTTGCGTCATTGTGTTTCTTTTGACAAACCCTTCAAAATGAGGGGTCACTCAATAGAGGTTGCTATTTGAAAACAATAAGTTACCCCCTACCCTGTTAGGGGGGTTAAAAAATATTTTTGACGTAAAAAATTGACGAACCTTAGTTAACAATTATTGCCACAAACAGAATATTTCTATCTATTTCGGTTTTAAAAATACAGATTTGTTTCAATACTTAATTTACACACTTTATAAAATCCAATGTAGGCTATGTTTGTTTGTCCTTTATGTACTCCGAAACCGCTCGACAGATTGTAATGAAACGTTCAGGCATTATTAAGTATTATTCAAGAATGGTTTGTGTGAAGTTTGGTGCAGATCCGACAAAAGGGCTCCACCCCAGTGGCTCTGGAGCTTCCCATGTTAATCTTAGGAGTACCTACTAATATTTAAATGGAATTAAAGAATCTTAACTGCTGGTTCAACTAAACAGTTTGATTACCTATGTGATGTTCAATAGCATTAAAAAGTTAATAGATTTACCAACAGGGTGCAGCGCTATTTTTTTTTAAATTTATGACAACAGTTAATTTGCAACCAAAAGGTGAGTGAGCGTAGCGAACGAACTAAAACTTTAACCTGGAGGCGAGTTAGCGTAGCGAATGAGCTAACCTGAAGGCAAGTAAGCGCAGCGAACGAGCTCCAACCTAAAGGTGAGTGAGCGTAGCGAACGTTCAACGAACTTCAACCAGGACGTAATTAAGCAATGCGAACGAGCTCATCTTAATAATAAACGAGCATTCGACATAAAACCACATTAGGACAGGACGACGTCTGTCAGGCCAGCTAGTAGACCTATAGATGAGAGTATTATCAATTGAAATAACTTTTACACTTTGATACTATAAAAACTTACCACTTTTTTTCTGAGTCTTTCATGTTCTTCCCTTAGTGTGTCAATATTTTCACAGTGACCAGAGAGTGCAACTTTAACTTCATTCAACTCTTGTTTTAGCTTTTTCCTCGTGTTTTGTAACTCTAAAAAATATTGATTAGGCTAATTTAAATTTCCAAGTAGCCTACCTTTAACACCTAAGTCTCGGACCATACTTTTCACCACACTACCAGCAACAATTAATATACAGAGTTTAAGTAAAACACAACCCATACATTTACAATCACAATACTGGGACGGGTCGTCGTACTGTAATCCAGCTACTAAGAGGTCACGAATTGTGGATATGGATATGCCTATTGGCACTGTGGATGCAATAGGCTTTTCCCTGGTGTGGATTAACGTCCACACTAGTGAATACTACGACTATCGGCAGTACTATCCTGATAATTAGACCAATTAGTTAATTAGAAGGGAAAAAATGGGGTTCTGATTCCACTATAAACTGTAGGTCCCTTAGTTGCCGTTGGATGTATATGGGCGATTAATTAACAGCTGTGTCCAAGGAACATGTCACCCTTAGTCACTAACAAGACTTGAAGATTGCGCCAATCATCTCCATTCATACTTGGCTTAAAATACCTACATTCGTATGGTCGCCTTTTTAGAATAAAGTATTAAGTATTAACTGTTTAAGTATTAATTCTACACTTTTTAATACATTTTTCAATTTTAAAAAAAGCATTGTGGTGTAGGCCTAATGTTATGAAACCTTTTCAGGATTAATTGTGAAAATGTAACGTAGCCTAACTTACATGTGCCCATCCATACATGTCTAGAGTTTATGTATAAGTTAAGGTTTAGAAGTTAAGCGCATCTTCATTGAGATCCTACCTATTAAAGAAACTTAGGATTTATTATGACTTTATAAAAACGTGCCAATTAAGGGTGCTTGGTAAATTTACTGGACTACAGCTGATTTTATATTGATCCCATTCTGTAAACAACAAATTTCTGGTCAGTAAAGAGAACAGAAACCAGCTACTTACTGGCAGTGTAAAGAATGATCGTGTTGAGGATTTGGCTAACACCAATTGCTGAAAACTTGTATAACAATCATCACACACACAGGCCTACCAAGTACCTATCTATTCTCTACTGTAGATTGAATACGTCTGACTGGTTTGAAATACAGTATTTATGCGAACCACATTAAAAGGGTAACTTGCCGTATCAACTATTTCTTTCCTATTTATCACGTAGTCCTCGCCACAATCCTCGGATCGGGGAGTCGTCAGATTTCTTCCCTCTTGGAGGGGTCTTGAAGAAGTTGCTCATTTGAGGTGTTGGTATGTGTGCTGTTCTATGTAATCTGTGGTTTTGTAATATGGCCTGTTTTATTAAGTATTCTTTGAATTTTTTTGTGAAGCTGTTGATTGTGGTTGTTGATTTTATATGTTCTGGTAATAATTATAATAAGTTAATATGTACCTGAGTTGATGGGTGTATTGCTGGTTTTTTTGTAGTCGGTGTTGCTTTGTGTTGATGTTGTGATTGTTTCGGGTGTTGTAAGGTGTGTATGTCTGATCGTGGGGTGAGGGATGTTTTTTTTGGCTAGGAGTATTGTGTCAAATATATACTGGGAGGTTGTTGTTAGGATTTTGAGTTTGATGAAAAGGGGTTTGCAGTGTTCTAGGTAGTGTAGTCTCAGGATTGTACTCTTTTGTATGGTTAAGATATTTTCAATGTTGTAATTTTCAATATAACTTAAGTTAGTGTTTATAAAAAAAAAATTGAAATCTTACGTACAAAATCTGATATTTAATCATACCTACTTGCATGCATACCTTTAAGTTTACTATTGTTGATCGACTCTTTAGGCTTTGCTGTCAGTAAACTTAATATTGAATCATGATACAAACTTTCAATTCTTAATGCAACTTCTAAGGAGTCATGGACAATTTCGCCCTTAGGACTAGGCCTATTACTCGTCATTCTGAAAAATGTAGGCCTACTGTTTATTTTTAAGCTGTCTAGTTGGGTTATTTGTAAAGAGTGTAGGCTAGCTACAAATAAAATAACTTAATAGGTAAGTTACTAAGTCCGAAATTAGTCTCTGACACTGGGTGTTTCGGTGTTTCTGAACAGTTAAGGTTAGGTAATGCAGACACTTAAAACAAACATTAAGAGGCTTCCATTTTAAATTGAAATAAGTTATTACAATTACAAACAACTACCACTCAGCCGCATATACATCTAGAAACTCACAAGTCACCACAACCCACGAACACATCAAAGCACATAGCACAAAAGTAAATACACCATACAATTAATTATTGTTTCACTGTTTGTTTTCAATTTCAAAACAAATAACGGAGAAATTCGAAATACCGCCAATACCGGTCCGCGGCAAACAAACGGATTGATGAATGATTGAAATTGAAACACTGAAACTGAACTAGTGAGAGTGAGAGAAGCTCAAGCTGAGCTTAGCGAGCAACAGCCACCTACCTAAAGGTGGCCTTGGACTTGGACTGGACTCAAAGCTATCTTCCTTCTGTTCCTTCAAAATCTAGTTAGTTTGGGAATGGAATGAGGGTTGGGATGATGACTGAACCAAAACCGAACTGGGAAAGACTGAACTGGAGACAAAATAAACATCACATCAATAACAACCAACAACAAACGAAGCATCAGTTATAGGTTAGGATTGTTAGGAATTATATAAAGGGGTTTAGGATTTTGTTTGGACTTTAGTAGCCTAGGTACAGTACTTTTTTAGATGAAATATCCTGTGTCAGTAAAGTAACAATTTACCGTTTATTTTATGAGTAGGCTATCATAGAAACCTTCATTATGAATCGCACTAACAATGAACTGGGTATTTATTGTACGTCATCTAATTTCATTACTGCAACTGTGACTATATCAGAGGTAAGTTTTAATTTAGCCTAGGTGTTCACGAAATAGTAGGCCTAAATATTAAAATATTGTGCTGATGAAATGTATTTATTTGCTTTTAACATGAAAATCATGCATTGCAATCGTCAATGCTATATAGACTAAGCAACACAAGAAAGAGGATTGGTGTGAACCTGGCAATAACTCCAGCCATAAGTAGTGCGCGCGCCCGAAAAAATCTATTGCTGGCCGTTTTGCGGCAAAATGCGACCGCGTAACATGAAACCGATGATGTCACCAGATAGAGGACAGTTTAACGGACACAACAGTATCAATATCATGTACCTGGGGAATAAGAAAGGGGGGGTAAAGTCAGCAATAAGTAGTGGGCGCGCCCGAAAAAATCTATTGCCGGCTGTATTGCGGAAAAATACGTCCGCAAGCAATAATAACGACGATGCCAACAGATAGAGGACACTTCAACGGACACGACAGTATCAACATCATGTACCTGGGGAGTAATTTAGGGGGGGTAAAACCAGCAATAAGTAGTGGGCGCGCCCGAAAAAATCTATTCCCGGCCGTATTGCGGAAAAATACGTCCGCGAGCAATAATAACGACGATGCCAACAGATAGAGGACACTTCAACGGACACGACAGTATCAACATCATGTACCTGGGGAGTAATATAAGGGGGGTAAAACCAGCAATAAGTTGTGCGCGTGCCCTTTCAAATCTATTGCTGGCCGTATTGCGGAGAAATACGTCCGCGAGCAATAATAATGACGACGCCAACAGATAGAGGACACTTCAACGGACACGACAGTATCAACATCATGTACCTGGGGAGTAATTTAGGGGGGGTAAAACCAGCAATAAGTAGTGCGCGCGCCCGATAAAATCTATTGCTGGCCGTATTGCCGAAAAAAACGTCCGCAAGCAATATTAACAATGATGCCAACAGATAGAGGACACTTCAACGGACACGACAGTGTCAATATCATGTACCTGGGGGGTAATATAGGGGGGGTTAAACCAGCAATAAGTTGTGCGCGCGCCCTTTCAAATCTATTGCTGGCCGTATTGCGGAAAAATACGTCCGCAAGCAATAATAACGACGATGCCAACAGATAGAGGACACATCAACGGACACGACAGTATCAACATCATGTACCTGGGGAGTAATTTGGGGGGGGGTAAAACCAGCAATAAGTAGTGGGCGCGCCCGAAAACATCCATTCCCGGCCGTATTGCGGAAAAATACGTCCGCGAGCAATAATAACTACGACGCCAACAGATAGAGGACACTTCAACGGACAAAACAGTGTCAATATCATGTACTTGGGGAGTAATATAGGGGGGTAAAACCAGCAATAAGTTGTGCGCGCGCCCGATAAAATCTATTGCTGGCCGTATTGCCGAAAAATACGTCCGCGAGCAATAACTTATTGCTGGTTTTACCCCCCTAAATTACTCCCCAGGTACATGAAGTTGATACTGTCGTGTCCGTTGAAGTGTGCTCTATCTGTTAGCGTCATCGTTATTATTGCTCGCGGACGTATTTCTCCGCAATACGGCCAGCAATAGATTTGAAAGGGCGCGCGCACAACTTATTGCTAGTTTTACCCCCCTTATATTACTCCCCAGGTACATGATGTTGATACTGTCGTGTCCGTTTAAGTGTCCTCTATCTTTTGGCATCGTCGTTATTATTGCTCGCGGACGTATTTTTCCGCAATACGGCCGGGAATAGATTTTTTCGGGCGCGCCCACTACTTATTGCTGGTTTTACCCCCCCCTAAATTACTTCCCAGGTACATGATGTTGATACTGTCGTGTCCGTTGAAGTGTCCTCTATCTGTTGGCATCATTGTTAATATTGCTTGCGGACGTATTTTTCGGCAATACGGCCAGCAATAGATTTTATCGGGCGCGCGCACTACTTATTGCTGGTTTTACCCCCCCCTAAATTACTCCCCAGGTACATGATGTTGATACTGTCGTGTCCGTTGAAGTGTCCTCTATCTGTTGGCGTCGTCGTTATTATTGCTCGCGGACGTATTTCTCCGCAATACGGCCAGCAATAGATTTGAAAGGGCGCGCGTACAACTTATTGCTGGTTTTACCCCCCTTATATTACTCCCCAGGTACATGATGTTGATACTGTCGTGTCCGTTGAAGTGTCCTCTATCTGTTGGCATCGTCGTTATTATTGCTCGCGGACGTATTTTTCCGCAATACGGCCAGGAATAGATTTTTTCGGGCGCGCCCACTACTTATTGCTGGTTTTACCCCCCTAAATTACTCCCCAGGTACATGATGTTGATACTGTCGTGTCCGTTGAAGTGTCCTCTATCTGTTGGCATCGTCGTTATTATTGCTCGCGGACGTATTTTTCCGCAATACGGCCGGGAATAGATTTTTTCGGGCGCGCCCACTACTTATTGCTGGTTTTACCCCCCTAAATTACTCCCCAGGTACATGATGTTGATACTGTCGTGTCCTTTGAAGTTTCCTCTATCTGTTGGCATCGTCGTTATTATTGCTCGCGGACGTATTTTTCCGCAATACGGCCGGGAATAGATTTTTTCAGGCGCGCCCACTACTTATTGCTGACTTTACCCCCCCTTTCTTATTCCCCAGGTACATGATATTGATACTGTTGTGTCCGTTAAACTGTCCTCTATCTGGTGACATCATCGGTTTCATGTTACGCGGTCGCATTTTGCCGCAAAGCGGCCAGCAATAGATTTTAGCGGGCGGGCGTACTACTTATTGCCAAGTTATTGCCAGGTTCACACAAGTAGAAAGAGGAGTAATATACCGTAATGAAATATGTAGGACCTAAAGTAAAGTGCAGCCATAACAAGATACAAATTGTAAAGAAAATACAACCTCTACAGTTGGACGTACAGAACTAACAATAAAATTGGCTTCAGCTGTTCTGTAAGGATGACAAATCTACTAAGGAAGTATGTTTTATCATAGACAAAAAGAATTAAATATAGGCTAGACTGTCAGCCGTACAGTGGTTACCTTGGTCACTATAGGTTCGGGCGCATACCGCTGTAAGTGCCGTGTAGCTACGTAGCGCGTAGGCCGTAACTACATGGCGCTCCCAGCGGTGTGCGCTAGAACCCATGGTAACCGCAGCACAGCTGACAGTCTAGGCCTATATTATATTTATTTTTATTTTTTTGCTATGGTTTTATCTATGCTCGAAAAACAACACTCGTAAAAGGAGTAACTTATTAGCATTATTTAAATGGAGAAAAGTGGTCATGCATTTGGAAAAGAAGACATTTCTCTGTTATTATTTATCCATTCTTAACAAATAAGGTACCATTGAAAACAAGATAAAATTTACTAGCTTTTATGTCTCCTACAATTTTTTTGTTAAGTTAACGGTTTTCTTGAAATTTGGAATCAAATATTTTAAATGGCTGCCTTTTTTGAAACGGTTAATGATTTTTATATATAATTTTAAACAAAGATAAGCTCTAATAAGATTAACATCTCTGCAAAATCTCAACGTTGTATCTCAAACCGTTTAGGAGTTATTAATGTTTTTGTAAAAAACACATAAATGCCGACAGTCTGTAAACTAGACACCACAGACCCATGTTCCTAAGGTGAAATGTGTTTGTCTTGACCTAAGCAATAACACTATACATGTGTACAGAGAGTTACGGGACACCCTGTATTTTATTTATTACCGTAAAATTTCTGTCCATGAATGAAGTTGATTTCATTTGATTTACTTAAAGATAATTATAATCTGCTTGGTATTGTTACCTTATAATAGTATACCGGTATTTAATATTTACAGGATTTGGACGTTGTGGGGTTGCCACCAATTGTTAAGTATGATGAGCATGACCCAGTACCAACGGTAGTAACTTTGGTGAACACTGTCTGGATCTTGCTACGGCAAAGGCAGGGACTGATCGATGGAAAACGAGGTTTAGAACAGACAATCACTAGTTTGTCTCAAGAACTGACATATCTGAAGGTATCATTGTCCACTGGATGTGTTAATAAACTAATTGTATTTTTTGTACTACCTACTATTCTGTTTTCTGTTATACAATTCCAGTAGCCCTATTGACACTGCCTGTGACTGATGGACAATTTGACTGTGGTGATGATTCAATTAATGAGTGCTTTTGTTGTACTTTGCTAATGTTAATTTTTGTGGTTATTTTGCATAGAATAAAATAAATTTCCTTTCCGTTGCATTTAGAATAGAATATATTTAAGGTTTAAACCATTTAGTACTAATGCATAACACAACAGCCTATTATATAATACATAATGCATAACAATATTTTGAGCATGTGGTACAAAGAGTTTCTGGCCAGAAGCTGAATTTGGTTTTGCAGATTAAAAAAAATTAGTGTTTTATTCATGAAATAAATCATGCGTCTCTAAAGCCGTGTTTACACGAAGCCAGTTGGCAGGCAGGTTACTTGCCTCAGGTAACTTGAAATACATTAGAGCCAGGTAACCTGCAACCTGTCTGCTCTACTGGCCTCAAGTGAACGCGGCTTAAAATGAGAGACCTTACTATATATACATTCTTTCACAAGGGTTAGGCCTAAGCCTACTTGTTAAATAACAACTAAATTTTACATTGAAATAAAGAATTAATATTATTAAGTAAAAATGTTCCAAAAATTGCAATTGCAATATTAAATGCAATGGTAAACCAGACCGCTCAAAATAAATTCATATTTTGCTTGATTTATTGATATTCAATAATTGATAATTTGATATTTAATTCAAATTTATTTAATTTGATATTCGATAACTAATGATACTTTTTATTCTTGCAGAAAAAACATGAGCAGCTCGAAAGTGCTTTTAATCACAATGAAAATCAACTGATCGATAAGAAAAAACTCCTTTTGTTAAAGACTGAAGATGATTTGGAAGCTTTGAAGAAAATCAAATCGTTAAAACAAGAGGTAGGTCTACGTCTAAGCTGATTATAATCAAGTATAAATTAAATTATTAAGATCCTACGTCCTCATCCAGGTGGTCAAAAGGTAGTGTACAAGAACAACTGTTGTGAAGACATACAAAAATTGAGGGTAAAAAAGATGTTGCACAAATGTTGGATGAATCTCAAGATATTTTAATTCTGTACATCTTTTCTCATTCAAATTGGTAAAAGAAGAAGTAAATAATACTCAAACATAAAAAAACTGCTTTAGAAACATAGCTTCATATTCATGTTAAATGGATTAAATCTGAGACTAAAAAGCCAATAGATTTTTGTCTGCAAGTGAGAGATTTTTAAGATCTATTAGAGTCCACTACACTTATAGTAACTTAGTTACTTATAATGGTTATCCTTAATAATTGTAAATTGTTTATCCTTTAGGCTCCACTGACATGATTTACTGAAAGTTTGGTTAAATATTTTGCTGTTTCTTGTTGGTTGTTTAATAGTCCTTTTACTGCAGGTGCATGAGATGAATCAACTTCTGAAGAGTAGAGAATGGCAGTTCAAGCACGACTTTAAAAGACAGCAAATTGAAATTGCTTCATTGCAATCTAAACTACGGGCTATACTAAGCAAGGAACAAGGTAAGATTTTTATACGTTAGGCCTATGGAACTTTTTGATGTTACTCATATTTATCATTACCCCCAATGCCGTTTTATGTCATCAAATAAAGTAGAATACCTCTTACAGCCGTAGTTGTTAATTTAGTGGAAACAATTCTGGTCGATCAACTTATTTATGCTCACATGAAATTGTTTAACATTCTTTCTAATTATAAAAATTAACCCTTTCAGTGCTGTGCGACAATATATCGTTGTGCGTATTATTCCCATTAAGTGCCATGGGAAAGATATGTTGTTGTGCACGTTTCATCCGAAAAGCGCAAAGCAACAATATCTCGTGCCAACCCAACTTTTGACTGTGTGAGTTTAAAGGTCCATATCGGTTGACTCGGTTATTCTTTTGAAACAGCAATGATTCCGCAATCGAGGTCCGATATATCGTCCCTTAGCACTTTTGAGATGAAAAATGTTAATTTTACAAATTTTTTTCTAGCATCCAAGACTTTGCTCCAGCACCAATAGAGTTTTAATAAATTCTTGCCTTTAAATATAGAGGTTGTCATTGATTCCCGACCTGATTGGATTAGGTACAAATTGTGGTTTTTTTTAAAGTTGTTGTAACTTAAGTTTTGTTATAAAGTTTTACGAGTTGGATTTATAATGATTTTAAACCACAGCTCAAAGTTAGACTGTAACTATCTGTGGGTTTGATAATTTTCATAGGCAAAATGTGTACAAATGCTACAACCATCAAAGACATAAAATAATTTATTTGGTTAATCTTTAATCCCCAACGTTCATTAACTTTTTTACTGTTGTCAAGTTTCAAGTCTGTAAATTTAAGTATAACAATTATATCTAAAAAATTTTGGTCAGTCATATAAAGTTTGGTTAAACTAAATTAACAGTTGTAATTTTATTTTTCAGGCGAGAAATGGAAAGGCCCCTCTGACAGTTCAATAGAAAGGAAATCATTCTCCAGGTAGGGAACAATTTGTATTGTTATTCTTAAGTTGTAATTTTGGCTAGGTTATTGAAAAAACATTATAACCTGTGTTTTTACTTCTACACGTTCATTCCAACGTTAATAAATTGTTATTTGAATCCAAAGTGTGCAATTTGTGGCACGGGAGTGTACTTTTCAACTTTTTGATGTCCATTCTCTTTCAACACAGCTGATACAGGTTATTTGCCCGTACAATATCCTAACAAACAGCTGATAGTTTCCATAATATCGGGTCCTTACCTACTAAGTCTAATTCCAGGTTTTTTTCAGTAGGAATTGGTTTTCCATTAAATACTTATTTTTAAATACATGCTTATTCATATTTAAACATGTAAAGTCACAACTTCTGGTCAGTGCAAAGTGGCGGAATCACTATTTACATGAACTAACGTCTAGGAAATATTTATTCTGACTCTTTACGAGAAGAAATTGATGTCTATGTTTTTACAGAAATGAAGACCTGCTTAAGAAGTGTATTTGTCGGCTTGAAAATAACATTCAACTACTTGTGAAGGAAAATCTCGAACTACGGCGTCTGTTGGACGGTGTCAGCTCAGAAATGGCAGAGTTATTGAAGGCGCGACAGAGTCAGGTATTACCATACTCATTCATAAACGATTCACTTTTTTCCCCCTATATTCACTCCATTTGATCCCATGTTATTCAGCACATCATTTGGTGATGAATTTCTCACACAAAACTTATGTTATGTTGCGGATGCAGTTGCTTCAACCTCTCAAACAAGCTGGGTTAGCCCTATTTCCCTACAATTCCTCATTCAGCTTCAAACTTTATCCTCTATCCTGTTTATATTGTGACTGCCTAATGCAATGTAAGTAACAAATATTGATATCAAAAATCCCTAGGTGCTTAGTCAAACTTTGATCTATTTGAGACTTAATTCTGAAAAATGTAGTTACATAAGTTACAATAATGGCATATTTCTTTATGTTTGCATCACTATTGTTGGCTTTAGATAATTTTGTTGACACAATTATGTACTCCGCAGGTGGATGTTACTTGAAAGACTACACTTCCATTTTCAGTGTTTATCGCCACAACAATGAAACTCCTCAAGTATTCAAGGGAGGAAAACTAAGCACTAAAGAAGGTTACAACTAACAACACTAGAACCACTATCCTTGCGTTTTTGGGGATGTATACAATCAGTGTAGGCTAAAAAAAGTTATGTAGAAGACTCGTGCTTAGATAAAACAATGACATTTTTGTTTGTTCCTTGATCATTTAAACACTTTGATTAACAAGTTTATGAAATAGTTTCCTGAAATAAAACCAACAAATCTTTGACAATTAATTAATTATTTTATGCTTTAATAACATAAATATAAAAAATAAAAACAATACAACACAATAATACAAAACAATAACATAAAACTAAAAAGGTGTGTACTGAATAAACCAATAGGCTAACAAAGCCTAAGTGTAATTTAAAGGTTATTTCCTAAGATACTTTGTTCAATTATTACACTACAATTATTATACTCCTTGTAGCCTATATAAATTTTTCAAAATATGTATCATTCAGTAATCAGACATATTTAACGTGACTTTGAATAGAAAAGAAAAATGCTATCATAGGAAATTACTTGAACTAGTAACTTCCTTGAACTAGTGACTAGTACTGCTGAATAGAAATTGTGCGCTGTTATTGTTGATAAACTTTTAATAAATTTATTTGAAATATTGTTGTAGTTTTTCCCTTGCTTTTCCTTTCTATCTATATCAAAATAGAGAATAATTAATAACACAACACTTTAGGTGTTGAGCACATTATCGAGAACTAGTTAGCCTATCTTTGATTGTATTTTCATTTTCACATATCAAAAATATATGTGGGTAAAAGAGTTAAAAAATATGCAAGTTTTCATCAAATTTAGCTGATAATCTCTTATACATTCATGGTTCGGGTGGTTGAATTAAAAAATAAACAAATGTATTACAAATACTCAAGTATCAGCATGATGACATCTATTAGCCGACAATAAATGAGATAGAGGAGTTTAGTTTTCTTTGACCACTCAATTTTAGGCCAGAGTCCTATTAAAGTCATCACTAGTAAGGTGTGCGATAAGTTGTTGGTTACCAATACCATCCTGATCTGCAATCAGATTTTGTATTTGAAATGAAAAAAACAACAACAAAATAACAAAAGGAATAACAATGAAGTAACAATAAGGACGAAGATAACAATAAAGAGCAACAAGGACAACAAAACATAAAAAAACATTTAACAAATTAATTAGAGATTAAATTAATGAGTAGATAGGTCATCTTCACTAATCAAGTGGAAGCGAGCTGATCAATCTCCTGAAACCTGTGGTGCTACAGTTGAAGAAATCAATTTCAGGTGGTAGAGAGTTTCCAAGGGCTTGTATGCGTGCGATGGCACTGTCCTGTTCGTAGAGCGTAGCATGGTAAGACCTAGCAAACAGCTCCCTGATCTGAGAGATCTGATCTTGAGGAGAGGAATTATGTATCAGCTGTTTTTTAACTGCAGCTACAAAAAATAACTGGAACTGACAATTTACATGGACACACTTTCAAGGGCTGTAGGGCGGAAACTGGATTTTCCCAGCCTTGGAACCAACTCTAATCGATTTCACATGGCCTTGTAGCCAAATACCCCACAATAAACAAAAAAAAATAAAAATTCTCGGTCAAAAATACAATTTTTGTCCATACATGCTTGTTATAGAGTATAGGATTTTTATCGTGTAAAAGTGTCAAACATGAAGCACTATTTTTTAGTAGATAGGGAAGTCAATCCTTTAATTCTTAAGTCCTTTACCATAATAAGACATGAAAGCATCAGGAATTGACAACAAATTGAAACTATTGAAAGCAATATGAATTGGGCCAACATTTATTGGTTTTTAGTTGGTTCATATTTATTCTTCAATAATTTCTAACAAAGAAGCCAACATCTTAAGTAGGCATTGTTAAATTATCGATTTAGTTAATAATTTTATTTTTATTTTGTTTTTATTTGCTTTAATTTAGCTAAATAACTTATATAATAAACTAGCAGAGTACTCGTCCTTTGTACGGGGTTGACATATAAGTATAAAATGCTTATTGCAGTTATACTCAAGCCTTGCGTTTGCAATGAGGTGGGACACAGTTTGATAAAATTTGCTTCTTTAAATTTACAGTATTCTATAGTATTACACATATACCATAGCCATAATGTTCTACCGCACTTCACCTAAACAATAGATAAAAATAAATTATAATAAATTCGCAAAAAAATCACAAATTTATAATGATTCATTAAATTAAAAACAGAAATATAACTGTAAACAATCCTACTTTTGACAGTTCTCATTGCGTATCACAGTTTTTTGTTGCTGCTTAGTTCAAATTAGCTGTTTTCAAATGCAAAAAAATATAGTGCCTTTTATAGCACCCTTTTGGTAAATCTTATAAATTTTTAATGCTTTGCAAATCATGGAACCAACTTTTTTAGTTGAAACAGCTGACTAATTTATTTAATTCCCTTTTAAATATTATGAATACTGTTAAGGTTAACATGGGGAACTACAGAGCCACTGGGGCGGAGCCCGAAAGGATATTTGAGATAAGAATATGCCTATATGTTAATCGGGAATGTGAGCTATCATCATGCCAAATTTCAGCCCAATCCGTCCAGTAGTAATGCGTTATTGAACTTCAAACAAACACACAAACTTTCACATTTATAATATTTATACTGTACTGTAGTAGAGTTAAAATTTAAAAACGTACGTTTTCAGGAAAAGCACTTTGCATTTTTTCCCCCTTTTTTCAAAACTTTTATTATTTTTATTTCATTAACATTTGTTGAAGTTTCATAAAATATCCATGGTAACGCAACATCTTTGGTATTTTTTTTAAAAAAAGAGCATCTTTAGTGGTAAAACACAAAATCCTGTCACGACCATAACAGACGTTTAAATGAATATTAAAAATAGTTAGGCCTAATATTATTTTTATAAGTATGTTTTGCTATAAACTAATTTACTTTTATGACCATTATACAATAAAAAGGTCACTGAGCTTTTGGTATATTTGGTCTTTCTAGAAAAAAAAACTCAAAAAATTGAAAAAAGCCAATAAAATCTTTTTAAGTTTGTATAACTCCGAAAAACTTACCTGAGACCCAAAAAATCGTTATGTTTGTATAGAGTTGTGCTTCTTTTGTGAATAAAACATTGAAATATGACGATATTTTAATTTTTGAAATTTGTATGATAGAAATCATAAACGTGATGGTCAGGGACAAGCGGTACGGTCGTGAATTTTCTGAAATAATCTAAATCTTTCTAAACAATCCTTCAATTATACTGTTAGTTATAATAAAAATAAGTGTTTCAATTGAACTAAACTGTTCAAATTACAATTATATTAAAGTTATTGTCACGACCAAACACACTATAGTTTTTGGACCATCTCAATAGTATTAACTCCAACATAAAGTTCACGATGGAAGAGGAAAGAGACAGGAAACTGCCATTCTTGGATGTAATAACTACAAGGAAGGAAAACTGAACTATAGGCCATGCTTTGTACAGAAAACCAACGCATACCAACAGATATTTAAACACTCAATCACATCACCACCCGGCACAGAAAAACGGCATATTAAACACACTGATAAATAGAGCAATCCGCATCTCAGACATGGAAAACAGGATCAGTGAAGAAAAAGTAAAAGTGATAACTTCGGCCCTCTTAAGCAACGGTTACGGAAAAAATGATTATTAAGAGAGCTTTTAAAAGACAGGATTGTAGGCTAACACGAGTAGCAGCAACCGATAACCAAAAAGTCGGTGACAACAGAGAGAGAAGACATAATTCGTATCTTCCTTATGTGAAAGGGACATCGGAGAAGATTGGCAGGATTCTCAAAAAATACGACATCACGCCAGTATATAAGCCTCTGAGAAAAATGAGCTCACTCCTACCCAATGGAAAAGACAAATTACCCCTAAGCGCACTGGGTGTATACAAGATTCCTTGTTCCTGTGGCAAAGTTTACATAGGAGAAACCAAACGGATGATTTCAACTAGATTGAAAGAACACATTCGCCAGACCAAACAGGAAAATACTGAAAAATCGGCAGTAGCAGAACACAGCTTCATGACGAAACACGCCATAGATTTTGACAAAGTTGTACTCGCTAAAGAACCATATTTCTACCATAGAAAAATCAGAGAAGCAGAGAAGCTATTGAAATAAAAATACATCCAGGCAATTTTAATAAAGATGACAGCTACAAGCTTCCACAGTCATGGAATCCGGTATTACGTCAGCTTGTTTACTAGAAACTACTAGAAACAGCCAGAGCAAGGGGTGTATGCTCCTGCATTCCACGCGCGCGCCGATGATCTCGTACTAGCTATAAGTATACCTGGACGGACTTCTCTGACTACTGACTTAGTCTCAGCGTCTCAGCCTAGCCACTGAGGATGCCACTTCATAGTAAGGGCGAAACGTCTGGCAGTGAAATACAACTGACGACGCGGTTGACGCCGAAAACCATCACCATGGATTTCAATGACAACGGCCGCGAAAGCCTACGCATTAAGACAAACACACTATAATCCATAAGGCTGGATTGGTCGTGAAAAAACCGGCGATGGTCGTGAAATTACGTGTTATTTGGCTCTGTTCTGGCGGTAGCCCTGCACCTCATGTTCGAGGATACAAAGTGAACTTCTAGGTTAATCTAGCAGTTGAAATATCTTATAAACAAAAATTAACACCATGTCTACTTCATCGAATGACTACGTACGGTCATGGCCACACCAAAATTACAAAAAAACACAATCTTTCTTTTATTAATCTTGTAATTCCTCCTTTCAACTCGAAACGACCGGCACTACAATCCTGACGTACACCCCGAACTAGTCTCTAAAACCAACTGACTCCATCGACGCCAGGCTTGCCACTGTCGTGCTCCAAAGTTAAAAATGTTTCCCAAATGGTCGTGACGCCAAATCGAGGGACAGACTTATTTTGTCATGGTAGTCAGTTTGCAATGACAATAAAATTATAATATGCTCCTTTTTTGTAAGTTTAATAACCATTGATGGCATAAAAATATGGCTTTATATATTTCGGCATGAATAATTAGTCTAAAAACAGCGTGAAAGTTGGAAGTTGGAAAATGTACCCTACACGTCATGGTCGTGAATTTTGAGACTTTAAAAATACGAAAAAATACCTAGAACCTATTGAATACCAAATAAATGTGTGTAACATGTTGCCCCCGTCCAAAAAAATATTAAAACACATAATAATAAACTACAAATCCAGTATCTACAAAGTAAAAGGCCAGGGACATGAAAACGTAAGTTTTTAAATTTTCACTCAGTAAGATTAAATGTTTAATTCAATACGAGCAAAGCTACTGGTACTCTTTACGTCTTTACGTAGATGTAGAAGGTGGAGTCAGCCCAGGAATATCGCAAGGATGTTTATATGGGAGAAATAAAACAGGAGAGTCTCCAAGACAATACCATAGATAAAACGTGTTGGTTAGTCTATGACAATACCATCCTGAATTGATTCACGGCCACCTCGATTCTGCTATAATTTCAGACTGTATGGGTTTTTATTACCATTGATTATAATATATCTCCCATTTCGGGGAGGTTCAATCAATACCGTCATTATAACCATGCTGACTATGAGTAGGTTTGAACATCTAATATAAATATATCTTGATAGGATATACTTTTACGAATTCACAAAAGCTAATTAACAAATTTCTTAAATCTCTGTTTTATTTTTGACAGTATACCGTGCTTAAAAAAATTAAACAAATTTGTATTTCCTTTTGGTCTCTCTTTTTGTTCTTGGCGCTTGTTCGCTTGTTGGGGTTTGAATTTTAGAGGGAATGCCTAAAACGGCTAGCTATGTTTTCCGAAGATGTTTAGATTATTATTTCGATTTTATATTTTTTTGTTTGATAAAAAAATGGCTATGTTTATTGAAATGAGCTGACGATTTGAAGTTAGGCATATGGTAAGTTTATCAGCCCTTAGTTTTATTAGTTTTGAGGTGTAACACTTGACGATTTAAGGTTATGTTTGATAAAATTGAGGATAAAATAGGCCTAGGTGTAGTTTAAAAACATATTTAACGTTGTTATATTTTTATTTTGATCCATAATTTTTGTCTACAAAAAGGGTTTTAGTCTCTTAAGTTTAATACTACTAACTTAGACAGACCATTACTGTACTGTAAGTTAGATGCTCTGCTCTAGTGTGTTGTGATTGGACACTAGGCCTAGTCCTTGCCTAGTCTAGGCTTGAGAATTTTGACTCAAATAGAAACATAGTCTCGTTAATTGATTAGCATTTGACTTACAAACAATAAATTTAGCATGTTGGCCTTCGTATCATGACCAACTTATCATTACTTCCTATAGTTAATTGCTACAATATAATAACTTTGTTGTCAAAGCTAAAGGCCTAGGTCCTAAGTTTAAATAGGACTAAGTTTAAGCCAAAATTCTGGGCCTAAAATGTCTAAAAACTTCCCAGACCATTACATAACTTATTGAGTAGGTACCGGTAATGTTTGGACTTTTTTCTCTTGTATAGTTATCCTCATCTACATGCATTTTATATTCTCTTTGTATCTCTTGCTTTGACCTTGTACTCTACACACATTGTACTCTTCCTTGACAAATGTTTAACCAACATAATACCTTTCATTGACCATTCCACATGCAATTGTATTGTCTATTGGGAAATAAAACTTTGATTTGATTTGATATAGCCTATACAGATTTCAAGATCAAGCTATAGATGTTAAACATCAAATAGGCTATCTAAAAAAAATTAAAACTTAATAGTAGCCTAGGTCTATTTCATATTAAGCTTAGGCTAAAGGCCGGTGACTTTTTTATTTATCATGGTCCGTGCTACGGGGACTGTTTGCTACAGTAACAGTAGGCCTGCTAATCACCGAATAACAAGTGTATACCGGTACCTCTATAGTGCTATAATAGCCCAGACATTGAGATGCTAAAGTTAAATAATCTGAGGCACATTAAAGATTATTTCACTGTTGACAGTATGTTTTCAGATTGATTTCGCAATAGAGCCTATATTATTAAGGCTAGCTACCTAGTAAGTTAATTAAAATACTGTATACTGGCCTAACTTAAATTCTTCATCTTAAAATTAAGTTACCATGTCTAACCAAATTAGGCTAAAAACAAACATTTCATAACATATAGGCCTAAGGCCTAATAAAATATAGGGGACCAGAACTTGAACTTACTCACTTAATACTTAGGCTAAGCTACGTAACTTAGGTACCGGTACTTAATAATTCTTGAGTTCTCCATCATTACCAGATATAGTCTGATAGATTGTGTCAAAATAAATAAAACATTGTGTACACCTACAATATTTCCAGATATTTATAACATAGCCTACTTAAAAACTTGGCTCTTTGATAAAAACCTGGATACTTTAATTATCACATGTTAAGGTCTATTACATTCACTCATTATGGCATTCATCTCTGGGGAAATTCCCCCCATGTAATTAAGTGTTTACGTCTGGCTTCGCCGGTGTGAACAGTCCTTTAATTGCCAAGCGTGGATAGCTAAGTTACTCAAGTACAGCTAACACTGCAGTGAGGGAAGTCAATATTTGGGGCCTACCTGATTTGAAACTCATCTACTTTCTCTCTCATAAGGGGGCATAAAGTGTGACAGACGACATTAGACTATCAATGGAACATTGACAGGGTACGATTCTTAACCTTTTTTGATTTTTCTAAAGCCTTTGACTTAGTAAATCCTAAGCTCATCTTGGAAAAGGGGTAAAGGGCAATAGGGGTTTCGATTGGTGTATTAGACTGGCTTGGATCCTATCGGTCAGACAGGTGGCAGTGTGTTGAGGTTGATGACTTACGATCTGACTGGGAGACAGTTACTAGTGGTGTGCCTCAGGGGTCATTCCTTGTCCCTCTGCTGTTCGTATTATACATAACTGACTTGAGCTCCAGTCCTCACACACTGTAAATACCACATGTATGCTGACGACTTACAGATTTATACACATTTCTCAGCCAAACAGATCAACGAGTGTTCTGAGAGCGAACGAAGGTTTTGAGAAAATCATTACATGGACTAATAAACACGGTCTCAGACTAAACTACGAAAAAACTAAATTTGTTTATGGAACTCAATTGACTTTCTCACGACGAATCCAATAACTATACAGTAAATAAATGGAACAGCGTTGCTTTACAGTGACAGGGTCAAAAACTTAGGACTTACTATCAACTCGACACTTACTTGGGGCGATGCGGTAGTAGACATCCGTAAAAAGGTGTTTGTATCAACCCACTCACTTAAAAAGTTACAAAATTTCTTGCCTTTGCACATGAAGTTACACCTGGTTAAATCACTTGTCTTTCCCCACTTCACTTACTGCAACTCTGTGATCAATGACATGATCTAAACCTCGCTGATGCTCTCCAATGCCCTCAGAACTACTGCCTAAGATTCATTTATGATCTAAGACGCAGTGAGCGCATCACCCCTTTCTACATTCATTCTATGTTAAGCTATGTAACCTCAACCTGAGATCAATCAAAATTCTTTTGCTAACCTATTCAATAGGCCTATTAAAAACCAATTTTCCAAAATATTTTGTGGATTATTTTAGGTTTTTAGCTGAAGAAAGTGTTAGATACTCACGCCATGCATCTTTAACTTTGCGTATGCCTCACCATATCAAATCAAATATTCCTTTATTGCCAGTTAACATATTTACATGCATGGCTTGCGTCACAATTTATAAATAAAATACATAATAAGAAGCAATGACATAGATACACATTATTGCAGAAAAACACATCATGCCTAAAAAATGCTGAATTGTAGTTTACGACATAGAACCGCAGTTTACGACAGAGCTTTTGTTGTAACTGCTTGCCATCTTTGGAACGATCTCCCTTTAGCTATTAAATCCCTTGATAGTCGTTCCCGGTTTGTGGCACCACTGAAAAATCTCTATTTTGAACGCATGGCCATGGTTGGTTTGTCCTAGGGGCTTGTGCGTATGAGCAATCGCTGACAAGTGTGTGTGTGCGTAAGTATTTGTAAAATTAAAAATTTACTGATTTTTGTTAAAAGTTTCTGTATCTATGATTTTTGTTTTGTTTTATTGTAAACTGATTTTGTTAAAATTTGTATCATATTTAAGTACAGGTTAAGTGTAAGAGAGGGCTATGTGGCCCTAACTTTGCCTGGGTAAATAAACAATATTTTATTTCATTTCATTTTAGGTTAATACACAGATAGTAAAGAAAGATTGAGAAATTTCAGGTTTTCTTAAAAGATGGAGCACTTGACACAACTTGACACATACCTACGAGATGTGTTGGATCCAACTTAGTCTGCCATCCACCACAACTAGTAACCTTAAAATCACATCAAGTCATCCTTTATTCATTTTGTACAAAATACATGAATAGTGTCAATATTATTTAGCCTAGATAAATAGTCAACATAAAAATAATATATAAACCGTACTTAAGTCAGCGGAAAAAGTCATTGACCTTATAGCAACATTTGTTACATAACAACTTGAATAAATTTCTTTTAAATTACCTTAGGGAAGGTGCAGACTTAATGTAATCAGGCATCAGGTTATTTGTTGTTGTTTGATTTGTTCTTACTGCGCTCTCTTCCTCTACTCTCCGTTTCAAAATGCAGACCAGTGACTGGGGTTTGTCATAATTTATTTTAATGCGGTTAGCAACAAACCAACAAACTAACTTGCTATTTGGGAATCAGGATAAGGATCAGCTAAAAGAATTAAAATAACACCTACCTTTTACAAAAAGTTGCAAAATGTTGTGCTCCAAGTAACTAAGTTAGGTTAATAAGAACCAAAATAATCATAAACCAAAAAGCTTTTTTTAAAAACATCAGTAAATAGACCTAAAATGCTTTGTAGCTTTGGAAGTGCTGTTTCTTGTATGATTTTGATTTATGATCCTTTATTTATAATATAATTTAGTTGGTTGAATAGGTAGGCCTATTTTGACAGGTAAAAAACATAAAACGTATTTGTTTAGTTATATAATTAAATTGCCTCCTTGACTGACTGATTTAACAAACATTCAGGTCCGTACAAAACAATCTTTACATTTGGTTACTTAAATGTCCTAAGGGTTGTAACGTTAAAGTAAGATTTGTCCAAATGATAGAGAAGTGATTAAGGGTGTGTTGCTAGCCTAGTAGTTATTGTCTCCGAATTCGGTGCGGAAGGGACTGGTTCAACTCCTAGCACACATCCACAAAAACTTAATGAGTTTGGACAGCTTTCACCTAAAAGCGTTTGATTTATGGTATAAGACTATGGGGCAATTCACCATCAGCAAAAAAAGTGTTTGTTTGGCAAAAAAAAGCAATTAGGGTTATCTGTGGCCTAAATGAAAATGATTCATGCAGAACAGTCTTTCCTGAACTTAGCATATTTACTCAACCTAGTCTGTTTATTTACTATAATCTTATATTTGTTAAAAACAACACCCATATCTTTCAAAAAACCTCTACTATTCATTCTCACAACACCAGACAAAAAGAGGACATTGTTAGACCTAGTATTAGACTTGATAAGTATTATAAGAGCCATAGTTACCATCAAATTTTAATTTATAATAAACTGCCAACCAATGTTAAAATGTTACCACCTAAGAAATTTATCAATGTTATTAGCAAGTGGCTTAAAGTTAAGGCATTTTATACCACTGAAGAGTACCTGAGCTGTGGCCCTCAAGACATTATCTATTGATTTTATATACTTTGACGACACCTATTGTATACTGCATATTTAATGGTGAATAAATTCTTGATTCTTGATTCTTGATTCTTTGACTTAATTATAAAAATAAGACTAGTTATACATTTAGCTACCTATTTCCTTACGTTTGGTGTCATATAGATCTTATATTTCTTTTTTATTGCATCTTTACAATATTCTGGAAGGTTCTTTGACTACCAGTTGGTAAATATAGTTTTGAAGCTTAGGCCTAACTGTATCTAATTACATTTCTTATTTTGCAGGGTTTAATTGGGAAATGTAGAAACATAGCCTGATAAAGGCTAGCTACAAAAACATCAGGTTATTGGTTAGATTGAACAGATTTATTCATCATGGATATTTATGATTTGTTCTCCAAATTCGAACTGGAATTGCTGCCACAGGACTGGGTCCAGAATTTATGGAAAGACGATTTTTCAGAAGCCGTTGAATTTCCAGCCGAATATGAGGAGTTTTTGGAAAATACAGATATCGGAGAATTGTTTTCTGGCGCCAGCAAATTTATAAAAGAATGGATAGACATACCTTCTGGCAACAGCACGTTTTCAGGAGAGAACAGGAAATCCATTCATAATAGGTCCAGCTTTAACGCAAGTGAGGTTGATTCAAAATCATGGCAAAATCTCATCAGCAACAACGTGAAACACCGAGCGCTAGTGGCTGTGCTAAGTGTTTTCATATCAAGAGGTAAAACAGAAAAGCAGTTTGAGGTGAAAAGACTAGGTTTAAAAGCAACAGACCTGTACCTAGTACTTCTTGCCATTCCTGGAAGCCAAGTCTTTCATATTTTTAACCCAATATTATATTCACATGCCATAGAATCTTTGAAAATCTGTAGCACGCTCAGTAGTTCAGCTAGTTCTAAGCCTGCAGCCAAGAAGAAGAAAGGGAAGCGTAACAATGTTGATGATGACGATTTTGAAGACGATGAAGAAGGAAATAATGATTCAGGTGATGACGATATGTTGCCTTCAGATAAAAACATGGTTATCAAAATGCTTAGCACTGTTTTAGAAGACCTCCATTTTGCATTGAAAAGGTTCCAGATGAAAAATCAAGATGATTCACTACTCTTAACCATTCAAATCTTGATTCTTATTACAAGATTGGAACGTAGCTCAACATCTCTATTTTCTAAATCGCCTTCACACAACTCTGTATCGTATCTTGCGTACAAAGCCTACAAAACCCTCTTGGCCCTCTGTTCCCCGGACCATGGTGAAGTGCAAGAAATCGTTTCGTTTATAATGAGAGAAATGATGTCAGGTTTATTATCTTTTGACCAGAAAGGGTTAAAGTTGTCACCCAAGGAAGCACTTGTAATCAAAGATCACTCCATTTATTTCATTTCTAATCTGTTGAGATGTCTAAAAGACTCAGCCCACTTCGGGGTGTTCCTTTTGATTCAGCATATTTGTGTCAGAATTCCAGATAAAGCAGATTTAAGAGCTAAAGGAGTGCAAGTAGTGCAAGAACTGTTGGACATTCTGCCATATTCCCTGTACGCTCACACCGTTATCTGGCTAATGGGCTTGTGTCACAATGACCAGGTGAAACACAGAATAACTGGGCTAGAAATTGTCACAAAACTGTTGCATGGAAATGAAAGAGTTCCATCTTCTCCTTTGCGACCAGTTCTACAGAAGAAAGCTAAAAAGAGAAAAGTGAATAGGAATGATGAGAATGAAGGGGAAGACCATAACGAATCAAACGGTCATGGAGGGGAAAGTGAAAGTGAAGATGAAACGCCCATTCCTTTGACACAGCTTCCGGACTTTTCAAAAAGCAATTTTCTCCTCGCTACAGTCTTTTCTCGGTGTAAAGATGTGGCGTCTTCTGTTAGAGCCAAATCTCTATCTATTTTAGCCAATCTGGTATCATCGAATAATAGTAACATCAAACATGCAATGGAATCCATATTTGTAACACCATACTTGGAAGTAACGAATATTGAAAGAAGTGATATTACTGAAAAAGATTTCCTAGATTTTCAGAGTTTATTGAAGGATATTAGGAAGGAGACGAGTCAAAACTTCGACCCTTTGCCCGGTGCCAAAGCTGTCATTAAACTTCTTGAACTCTTCATTGAAGATGAGAAAGTTTTTGTAAGGAAGTCTGCTCTTCAAGTGTTGGCAAACATATTCCTCATGAGTGACAAATGGATGACTAACAAACTTTTACAGGTAAGGATATCTTCTTATTTCTAACATAAATATATTCACAGAATGGCTTTTGTAGCCCTATTCAAACTGAAGTCAAGGTAGTTCAACAAAGAAACGGATTAGTTTAAATCAGCAAAATGAGAGTAGGCCTATTTATATTCATTGCTAAGTAGTTCAAAATTTGGAGTTAGATCCTCATCGATTTTCTAAACGTGTTAAGGCTTTAATGGATGATTGTGCAGGTGATGGTGAACAACTGCAGAGACATGTCGGTATCGGTGCGCAAGCTGATTGTCCAGTGTCTGACTGATCTGCTCAGACACTACCCCAGCCACCCGGAGCTGCCCAAGTACTGGGTACAGGGAGTCATGCCTCTTCTGGCTGACCAGGAGGTCAAATCACAAGAGAAAGTGCTTGAGGTAAGCCATTTTTAACGGACTGTTTAAATGCATACAGTATTTTACTTAAATTTAGGAGATCATTGTATCTAGTAGAGGCGTTATCATTGGTCCCAAATCTTTCCAACGAGAACAGTCGTTTCAGTACTACCCACTTTCTGCTGATCTAGTCCGATTAAACCGATTTGCTGATAAAAATTGTCCGGTTAAAGAAATGTAATTTTCGCCGAGTGTAGTCCGGTTAAAAGGTGTCCGGATAAGAGGGAGTCTACTGTAATCATATTTTTAAATGTGCTTTATTACCAGAAGATAAGTGTATTCTTAACCAGGCTGTAAATTTACCCAACAGGGAATGTTCTTTAACCCTCCAACTAGTAATGGGCAAATTCTGTAGTGGCAAGGCATTTTTGGCGATTTTGCAGTCATATTTTTTAAAATTCATATAAACTAAACCAACAACCTATTGAACTGTATAGTTAAATTGTTAGTAATGAAATGAAGAATTTGAAAATGGCAACAGAATAAATATTTAGAACAGTATGTGTTGACATTAGGTGAAAGAAATTGTAGTAAGTAAAACTTTGCTGCATGAACCAAAAATTCTTTATGTGAAATTCAAGATTAACTAAATGTTTGGAATTTTTTCCCCTACATGGAAATGTAAAGATATTTCAATTACCATTTTGTCTTAGAAAATTATGACTTAAAACAAAAAAACAACAAATTTTACGATTTTGCGCTACGAATTTAAAACAAACTGCAAAAAGATTTGTTCTCAGGAAATGTAGTGAAAGTACACATTATTGTAAGGGCAATAATATTGGAGATTAAATTAAGTAAGAGTTGCCCATTCTTCGTACTAATGATTTTAACCCCTCCTCCCACCCAAAGGGGGCCTAAGATTATTTAAAATATTGTTGTCTCCCCTTATCTCCTAAGATTATAAATTTATTGCTACACGTATTTAACTAAAGACAGTTTTACAGTTCATGACTTAACAAATTTCAATCATTAAAGCAATAAACCTACATCGGGACTCTAACATGTCAAGACTTGTTCAATATTCACTACAAACAGCCCCTCGATGCATGCAATTGTCTGGTTATCATTAGTTTTTAGCACAGAAAACATTCCCGGACAACATCCTCTCTTTCGAGGCACTTTCTCACGATGGCTATACAATTAAAAAGGGGCCTCCAGCGAGCCAAAGGCGAGTTGTGAAATAATACTAATCTAAATTTACCAATGATTATCCTATACTCTTATAAAAGCAATGTTTGCTTGTATGTATGTATGCTTGCACAAAGATCACAAAGAAAACGACTTTCATGAGGATTTCCTTCAAATTTTGTAAATAATTTATATCCGTCCTAGAAACGTGTTTACTGCAGTTAAAACAGCCAACAAAAATCTAATTACATAAAAAAATGAAACTGAAAGTCAATTATTGTTAACATATGGCCATATGGGTTGCCAAGTAACCATGTTGGTTGAACAAAATAACAAGGGAAAAGTAAACAAAATACTTGCAACATGTGTTTATAACAAGCCATCCACAGTATACTAGTAAAAAAATACAGTAGTACAGTACAAAGGGAATGATTACACTGAAGATAACTCGATATAGGGGTAGAATGGAAATAAACTATATCGAGCCATGGCTCGGTCCCCAGGTACTTAGTAATTATTTTACCAATGGAGGTTTATTTTGTTTTGCCAAATCTTTATGAAGCAGCGCTGCAACTGTAATGAACCTGTTTTCATATTTTTTTTTTATCTTAATTTCAGGCTTTACAGTCACTAGTGCTGGATAACTTGGTTGCTTATGACAAGATGAAGACGCCACACCATGCTCTGCCGTGGACGTTGTTGAACATTATTGCAGACAGCAACAAACGTCAACTCTTTTTGTACGCTTGTCACAAGTGGTCCCTCACAAACTCATTGAGGTACTCTTTAGTCAATGTTTTCTTTTCTGCAGTAGCGGACTTACATACGGCGCCGCCCCTAGGCCCGTTCGGCTGGCCACCTCTTTGTGTTTTGTGAAAAAGAAAAGGTTTCAACGTAAAAGCCACATTAAATTTCCCTTTGTTAGCATGCTTATTAAAGCATTTTCCTGAGAAAGACATAGTACAATATAAGTACATTATATTAAAGTTGTATTTATAGGTTTTAAGACAAACATATATTTTGTAATCGAGGCAAGAATGAATATGAATAGCCTAAATTAATCGCTGGACCCATCGTTGTTCTTGATTTTAAATATAGAATTCAAAACAGCAAACAATAATTTTACTTATAATAAACTGTGTTGTCACCTCTTTATATGAGTTGTGTATACTATGTAACATATGACTTCAACTTTAAAGGAATAGAGAGGCCCTTTACTTATTTTATTTATAGGATCGTACTTGATTTTACCTGATTAGATTCCACGAATCTTTGCAGTTATTTGGTATGCTGTTATACAATGCATTAAATAAGTACAAGATCAAACAATGCTTTTGCCGGATATTATAGTAATGACTGGCATTATAATTAAATACCGTTTAAAGCTACGTGCACACTAAATTTAGGGCGGCACGATACGGATGGACGGGACAGGACAACCGCACATCCGCAATTTAGGACAGTCTGTGAGCTAAAACTGTGAGTTCGACTTCGACGGAGAGCGTGAGACCAGTGGATAATGGTGGGAGTCCCGTGCCGCCCGCCCAGACGGTTCACAGCGTCCGGCTGGTACGGCAGCTCGGAAATGTCCTAGAGTTCTGTCTCTCTGACTTTTTAACAAACGGCGGAAGCTGCCGGACGTCTGTTGCCGGCCGTTCTACCGTAGTGGGCACACCTATATTACATTCAAAGTTATACATTTATGTTTGTTATATTAAAAATCGCCATGCCGGCCGCCCGTAGGTGCCGTGCCACCCTAGTGCGTGTTTAGCTTAAGAATTAATTTAAACTATATGAGTAGTAGAGTAGTTTATTATACGATTATACATTTCGTAAGCAAATTATCACTCTACTTAGTGTGTAACCGCTTTTGATTACATATACTAAGCATAAACAGACAAATGATAAACACGCACTACACACACAGACATACACACAACACATCTGCAATGCCACCACCTTTGACTGCCACTAGAAACACAACACAGGTACTGGTAATGACGCACTGACAGTGCTCGCTACTCGCAGTTGTATGTCTGCCTCTGCCTGTTGCGACATGAACGTGACTCATCTTCACCGCTAACCACCACGCGCCCGTCGCCTGCTGACGCGCCACCTGCCGTGGCCGTGCACCCCTCAATGGCGGGCGCCCCTAAGCGTGTGCAAGTCCGCCACTGCTGTTCTGATCTCCTAATGTACATGTAGGTAGCACAAGAACAGTTTCTACACAGAATATCCAAGTCTACTACATAGGAAGTTGAAAGTTATCACGTTAATATAGGCAAGACCAAATTCAGCAGTACAATTCCTCTCACGGAGACATCGTTTTCTGTCTCCTGTAAAAGCAGCAAAATCGTTGCATCTCCCACAATCTCGGAGACATTATCATCGTCTTTTGCAATCGGGATGAAATCTAACTATAATGATTACCATATATTATTTAATAGATTATTTTCCATCACAATATAAGTAAAATAAAAACAAAGTTTTCACTACATTAGATATCATACCTGTAAATGAACCCCAAAATTTCCATCCATGTGTCATTCAGTTTAAATAAACATGTTCTTATATGAAGTAAACACTGAATTATAAAAATTATCCTATACTCTAATACGAGCAATGTTTGCTTGTATGTATGTATGTATGCTTGCTTGCTTGCTTGCTTGCTTGCACCAAGATCTCGAAAACGGCTCCGACGATTTTCTTCAAATGTTGTAAATAGATTATTTTTGGCCTAAAAACGAGTTTCATGCAGTTAGAACTGCCAACAAAAATCTAATTACGTAGAAAAATGAAACTGAAAATCACATTTTTTTAACATTAGTCTTATGGGTTGCTAGGTAACCATGTTGACTGAATTAAATAACAAGGAAAAAGTAAACAAAAGACTTGTAATTTGTCTATCCAAAGTATACTAGCAAAACAAAATACAGTACAAAAGGAAAAACATAAGTTGTTACTATTGAGCAAAGATTATACTGAAGATTACTCGATTCTATAGTCAAGGGTAGCAGTGTGGAGTGTGGGATCTGTTTATGACGATTAGATTACGGTATCTGCAATCCTTAAATGCTATGGAAAGGGAGGAAAACAGGTCCACGACATAGGAAGTGGTGAAGGAAGTAGTAAAGGCGAGCAGTCTGGAGTGTGGGAACTGTTTATGACGATTAAATTAAGGTATCTGCAATCTTAAAATGTAATGGGAAGGGAGGAAAACAGGTCCATGACGTAGGAAGTGGTGAGGGAAATAGTCAAGGCGAGTAGTCCGGAGTGTGGGAACTGTTTATGACGATTATATTAAGGTATCTGCAATCCTAAAATGCTATGGGAAGGGAGGGAAACAGGTCCGCGACGTAGGAAGTGGTGAAGGAAGTGGTCAAGGCGAGTAGACCAGAGTGTGGGAACTGTTTATGACGATTAGATTAAGGTATCTTCAATCTTAAAATGCTATGGGAAGGGAGGGAAACAGGTCCGTGACATATAAATTGGTGAGGGAATTAGTCAAGGCGAGAAGTGCGGAGTGTGGGAACTGTTTATGACGATTAGATTAAGGTATCTGCAATCTTAAAATGCTAAGTGAAGGGAAGGAAACAGGTCCGTGACGTAGGAAGTGGTGAGGGAAATAGTCAAGGCGAGTAGTCCGGAGTGTGGGAACTGTTTATGACGATTATATTAAGGTATCTGCAATCCTAAAATGCTATGGGAAGGGAGGGAAACAGGTCCGCGACGTAGGAAGTGGTGAAGGAAGTAGTAAAGGCGAGCAGTCTGGAGTGTGGGAACTGTTTATGACGATTATATTAAGGTATCTGCAATCCTAAAATGCTATGGGAAGGGTGGGAAACAGGACCGTGACGTAGGAAGTGGTGAGGGAAGTAGTCAAGGCGATTAGTCCGGAGTGTGGGAACTGTTTTTGAAGATTAGATTAAGGTATCTGCAATCTTAAAATGCTATGGGAAGGGAGGGAAACAGGTCCGCGACGTAGGAAGTGGTGAAGGAAGTAGTAAAGGCGAGTAGTCCGGAGTGTGGGAACTGTTTATGACGATTAGATTAAGGTATCTTCAATCTTAAAATGCTATGGGAAGGGAGGGAAAACAGGTCCGTGACGTATAAATTAGTGAGGGAATTAGTCAAGGCGAGAAGTCCGGAGTGTGGGAACTGTTTATGACGATTAGATTAAGGTATCTGCAATCTTAAAATGCTAAGGGAAGGGAAGGAAACAGGTCCGTGACGTAGGAAGTGGTGAGGGAAATAGTCAAGGCGAGTAGTCCGGAGTGTGGGAACTGTTTATGACGATTATATTAAGGTATCTGCAATCCTAAAATGCTATGGGAAGGGAGGGAAACAGGTCCGCGACGTAGGAAGTGGTGAAGGAAGTAGTCAAGGCGAGTAGTCCGGAGTGTGGGAACTGTTTTTGACGATTATATTAAGGTATCTGCAATCCTAAAATGCTATGGGAAGGGAGGGAAACAGGACCGTGACGTAGGAAGTGGTGAGGGAAGTAGTCAAGGCGAGTAGTCCGGAGTGTTGGAACTGTTTTTGAAGATTAGATTAAGGTATCTGCAATCTTAAAATGCTATGGGAAGGGAGGGATACAGGTCCGCGACGTAGGAAGTGGTGAAGGAAGTAGTAAAGGCGAGTAGTCCGGAGTGTGGGAACTGTTTATGATGATTAAATTAAGGTATCTGCAATCTTAAAATGCTATGGGAAGGGAAGGAACAGGCCCACGACGTAGGAAGTGGTGAAGGTAGTAGTAAAGGCGAGGAGTGTGGATTTTGGGAATGGATTAATGTACCTGCAATACTAAGACTGCTTTAATAGGAAACTTATGATTTTACCCGAGCAAAGCTCGGTCCCCAGGTACTTAGTACCTATAAAACAAGAGTATTTTTAAAGGTTACATACAATTAAGTTTTATGTTCCAGGCAAAGTTTAATAACAGTATTAAAAACCCATATTGGGACAGAGAACAATAATGCTGTATGGTTCCTGTTGGCTTCATTCTCGGAATATCTCGACATCCGAGATCCTGAGTTTGCTTTGAAATATTTCTACGAAAACGTCCTCAACTCACAACAGGTAATACATGCTCATTGCTGATTGTTATTGTGTGTTTCCTTGTGTACCATTACTAGTCGGCACGGTCAACAATGACACAAAATAGATTTACAGCTTTGTATTAAAGTAATATGTGTATTACAGTAGACTCCCTCTTATCTGGACTCCTCGGAACCGAGGTTAGTCTGGATTACAGGATTTGCAGTTAAACCGACGTCTCCAAAAACTCGTTAAAACGGACCGTTTAAATGCATACAGTATTTTACTTTAATTGAGGAGATCATTGTATCTAGTAGACACGTGATCATTGGTCCCAAATATTTCCAACGAGAACAGTCGTTTCAGTACCACCCACTTTCTGCTGATCTAGTCCGATTAATCCGATGTGCTGATAAAAATTGTCCGGTTAAAGAGATGTAATTTTCGCCGAGTGTAGTCCGGTTAAATCGATGTCCGGTTAAATGGTGTCCGGACAAGAGAGAGTCTACTGTAATCATATTTTTAAATGTACTTTATTACCAGAATATAAGCGTATTCTAAACCAGGCTGTAAATTTACCCAACAGGGAATGTTCTTTAACCCTCCAACTAGTAATGGGCAAATTCTGTAGGGGCGTATTAACCAGGTTTTTGGACGGATCTTGTCATATTTAAAATACATACACTATACATATTAAACTAATATTTACTAACTACGATGGTGGCCAGTATCACACCCTAAAGTTCACACTGTCCTCAAGATACTTCTCTATGAAGTAAAAACATTTGGTATAATTTTACCTGTTTATGTCTGTGATCCTACATTTGTTGTATAGAGCAACCGGTTTCAAGGTTATAACCTCATCTTCAGGCTCTTGTTGTCACTCTTGCGAGATCGTCGAGTTTTACAAACACACAAAAACACTAACATTTAAATAAATAAACACGAGACATTGACAGACGAAGACGATTAACATAAATTCGGAAACTAGTTCCACACACGACGCGGCACGGGCAAACGTTTTGTCATGACTCTAGTCCCCTAAGGGACTTTGTCAAGTGTAGAGAAAGAGTTACTTCTCTACACTTGACAAAGTTCCTTAGGGGACAAAATATTGTGAGCATAGTGTTTTTGTACTTGTTCTATGGCCTACCCACACTTTCAAGGTAAGCTAGCTGCTATCCTCCTTTTTCTACAATTTAAAATCCTGGCCTAGAGCCTTTCCTTAAACAAAACTATATGGTGGCATGGTCAAGCTGGACGTCACTCATTGACTGAGTTTGTATGTATGTGCTAATAGTCCAGGCGCTAAACGAGTTGAGTATGCACTGAAAGTCTGACAAAATTTGACTTTTGCTTATTGTTGGGGACATCTAGTAGATGAAAAAAATCGATGATGTCGCATTTCTAGGGTGGTCACAACTCGGTGGGGAGGGGGGGGGGAAGTTGCGCGCGTCAGTGGTTTGCGTTTCCGCGTCTAACTCTCAAACGGTAAATGATAGAAAAGTGGTTTAAGCATCTATCAACACTTAAATATATTGTCCTTCAAAAAGGTTATTACAACCTTTCTTCTATCTCTTAAGCTTTAGGCCTCAATCAACTTGTATTGCAAAAATTTAAATTTTAAACTACTTTAAAATCAAATATCGGAAATATTGTACGCGTTTAAGACATGTTACAGCCGATTTGTGGTTAGAAAAACTAACAAATAGTACAAAAACACCAAGTTTAAGGAAATCTGTGCAAAAACAACAGAGCTACATTTAATTACGTAAGAGTAAACGTGGAAAATTCGTAGTAGTATCGAGGCGCGCATGGATGGTACGTAGCCCACAGTCAATAAGGTTTGGTGTTGTAAGTAAATATGGGAAAGCTGAATTTTTCTATGCTGTTAGACCATGTTGAGATGAGCATTTTCCCAAAAGTCCCCACTCCTCCCCCCTTGTGCTTTCCTCTAGCCCCCTTTTTAGATAAATTTACAGTCTCTTAGAAATTAAGCTATAACTTTAAAACGGGTAAGGATAATAACGCAATCTTTTATTAATCATTTTGCGTTACGATATTCTACAAAAAGCGTATTTAGCATGGTATCCTAAATATTCATAGTTAAAAATATCATAAACATAAAAAAATTATTTTTACGGATTAATTTATGAAACTTTTCTTTGTAGATTTTTTAAACGAGGTCGCACATCAAAATGTTAGGTATAAAATTTGGGGTGCATAGTTTACGCTTTAAAATGATACATAGTTATCAACAGTTTGTTTGCATATAGTGGTTATAGATAGTACAGTATATTGATTTTACAGGACTCTGGCTTTTTTATGCACCGCAACAATGAAAAAAATTACGTATATTATGGCTTTTGTATTTCAATTTGCCGCTTTGTATAGAATATATTAACGTTATGTAGCTCATTCAGTACACATACAGACTGTAGTAGATACATATGAATGAATATCATGCATTTGCTGCTGTACGCCAAAGCCTCATTTTATTATACAGGGTGTCTCACCTAAAGTGAACCGATAGATAATTTTTTATTATGAGATATAGAGTTAACTTCTTATGGGACACTACCTTTTATTTTAAGATGTTTTTTTAGTGGTTTAGAATTTTAAAAATATGTTCGCTATTTTCCAATATGGCTGACAACTTTGTTAGTCCTATCGAATACCCTGTATTTTATGATTGTTTTAGAATGTAAACGCACAATTTTTAAACCTTTTGATTCTTGACATTTTTCTCTAAAGCTACTTGTTTAGTAGTTTAAAATCTTTTTCATCGTGTTACATCGAAGAAGAAATGGTTTGTGAGTACATCCTGCATCCTGTAGCTCACATAAGCGAGTAAGTTTAAGAGCGAAAATACAAAGAATAAACCAGTTTTCAAACCAGATCTACATAAAAAAACCATAAAATAAATTGTTCCAATATCTAAGTAAGCTCAGTAACACAAAACAACAAAATCAGTATTTTTAAAGTATTTTATATATTTTTTTGAACGAGGACTTATACGTGACTCATTTATTCTTTGCACTTTCTCTCTCAACTTCTTCGTTTACGAGCTACAGGATGCCGAATGTACACCACAAGCCTTTCTTTTAGATATAAAACGCTATCAAAGTAAATTATAAAAGTAACAGGTTTGTTTTTTGAATTATTAACTGTTTGTACAAACAGTACAATATTTCCGATATTTGATTTTAAAGTAGTTTAAAATTTTAATTTTTGCAATACAAGTTGATTGAGGCCTAAAGCATAAGAGATAGAAGAAAGGTTGTAATAACCTTTATGAAGGACAATATATTTAGGCGTTGATAGACGCTTAAACCACCTTTCTATCATTAACCGTTTGTGAGTTAGACGCGGAAACGTAAACCAATGACCCGCGCAACTTCCCCCCCTCCCCCCCGAGTTGTGACCACCCTAGAAATGCGACATCATCGATTTTTTTCATCTACTAGATGTCCCTAACAATAATCAAAAGTCAAATTTTGTCAGACTTTCAGTGCATACTCATCCCGTTTGGCGCCCGGCCTATAAGTGATTTTTAAGACTTGTGACGAACTCTTACGAGTGATAAAACTTTAAACTTTACATCCAGCTTGACAATGACGCCATAGATGTAAAACTGGACGCCATATAGACAACTTTAGTTAGTATTACTTGGACAGAAAATGGTAACTTAACCTGTTGTACATAATTTTATTATCTATTTGTAATGTGTGGTGGGTAGATTTTTTTATGTTACAGTTATTTCCAATTAATTATTTGTCTGTTGTTTGTTTGTAGGTGGATGAGTACTGCTGTCAGATGGTGACAGAGGTGATGCACCTCAGCTGGAGACAGTTGGATGTCCTAGCTCAGATCAACCTGTGCGACGGTTTACTCCGGCATCTGATGCAGTTCACTGTTCCTCTGCCAATGATAGCTCGGTGTGTTGACATCTGTCAGCTCATCACAGAGACTCACGCTGACACCCCGGAACAGGGCAGGGAAAGAGTCAAGGAATGGGCCACCAATCTTATAAACGTTAGTAATTAAATTGTTCGACTAATGATTAATTTGAAATTTAACATTAAAGCTTAACATAAAATATTTTGATACAGTGAATGTTTTTCTTTTTCTTTTTTTTTTGTTAAGAAATAATTTAGAGATTTGTAATGTTTTTAGCATCTGAAAAAGTTAGAGCAGTAGAATACAAACAAGAGACACGACGGTCGACGACAAGACACGGGCGCGGCAGCTCAGATGAGTCGAATCCGAATCTTGAATCCACCGAATCCTAAGACAAGATTTGGATTTGAGATTCGATTAACGAGATTCGAGACTGCCACCCGCCAGCTCTATGTATCTATATTAACGTGTAGCAACACAGCGACAGCAGTAGCAGTGTCAATCTACGCATAGCTGGAACAAAGCCAAACTCGGTCTTAAAACTTAAGGCCATGGCTTGAATTACGTCTTACTTACTTACTCTTACTCCCATGGCCATTTGTACTCCAAGTGGTACTTGGCCTCACCAACATTACGTCTTAGTCGAATATTAATTGTATTTGAAAAGGGATTGGTCGATAACAGAATTTCTCGATTTGGTACCAGTTCGGAAATATTACTCACGATTCTCGATACCGATTCCATATAAAAGATGGAAGATGAAGATGAAGACATACTGTGTCAGTACATCTTCAGTGTGGGAGAGTTGGTACTACTGTGTCCTGCTCAGCTGATCATACAGAACCTACAGAGTATTCAGACGTATATATACTTTTTTTTTGTCCTAGGACGCTAGGCACGAGCCTGAGATTGTTTTTCACATTACTTCAGGCTAGACCTAGGGGTGCGTCATTATCACTTAGATAAAATCCATTCGTGATTTGACGGGATTTGAGACCGGAACCTCGGAAAACGAAGTCCCGCGCTCTAACCACTATTAGTATTCAGTCAGATGGTTGTTGTAGATATGTGAGTCCAAGATAGAGAAGGTGATAGGCCCTGCGGCTCCTCCTGAGGTGGAAGATGAAGACAGACTATGTCAGTACATCTTCAGTGTGGGAGAGTTGGTACTACTGTGTCCTGCGCAGCTCAAACACTCCAGTCTGCTGATCATACAGAACCTACTAGAAACTGACTTTGACGAGGAGATTGATGAGGATGATGCTGGTTGGTTGATACAATTTATATGTTTTTCACAGTCTAATCCACACTACCCTTACACTTGACAAGTCCCCCAGGGGACAAAGTATTGTGTTCAGTGTCAGTGTCTCTTCTGTATGTTCTGTGGCCTACCTACATGTTCTTCACGGAGTTGCTAACCTCCTTATTTACAAAATTCAAAATCCTTGCCTAGAGTCTTTCCTTGAACAAAACTATACTGATGTTGAGGCAATCATACCTTATAGACCTAATTATGTCATGAATATTTACTTAATTAGTTCTAATCATGACCAAGTGCCAGAGACATGTTAATTTGTATATTTGATTTTATAATAATGTGTTTTTTATCTATGTTTCACCAGCCGAGGAGAGATGGAAGGGCCATGTTAGTTCTGCAGTTCAGGCTGTCGCGGTGGTCACACTGGGGAAGCTGTGTTTGCAGAAGGAACATACAGCCAAGGTGTTGGTACCCCTGTTTGGCAGTCTGCTCAGTGAGACACCTCACAACGAGATCAAGATCAACGCCATGATAGTGCTTACGGACATGTGTGTCAAGTGAGTTAGAACTAATTTATAAATTGACTTGATTCTGATTGTGAGGTTATTTGATTTTAAGGAAATGCTGTGTGATTTGAGGAGGATTTTATAAGGACCATTCTGTTGCATAGTTTCTTTGGACAAAAAAAACCACCAAAGCAGGGTCTGGCGTAAAGGGTTAACAAACATTTGATAATGTATCAAGATCAAGTACATCATTATCATACGATGAAACCTATATACAGTATTCTTACCTTTGATATTGTCAGAACCATCACAAAACACCCTCATAAAATTACTCTAAGCAAAGATAACGGAGGATTAATCACTCTCTTGTACAGGTTCACGTCCGTAGTGGAGAATCATCTACCTGAGATGTGTATCTGTTTGAGAGACAAAGACTTACAAGTGAGAGAGAACACATTGACTCTGATGATGCAGCTCATACAGGAGGACTACCTCAAGGTTCGCTGCCCGATGCTGTTCCATCTGATGTCGATGCTGAACGACGAACATCAGCTGATTCGAGACATGATCTCCTCATTCATCGTCAACTCTATGTTAGTCAAACAGAAGAACATTTTAATGCAGCATTTCGTCGAGTCTCTGTTCCACTACAACGCTTATTTGGTAAGATTTTGAGCAAAGAGTTTGTATTTTGTGGATGAATCAAGTTATATTTCCAATTAAAACATTTTTTAGCCTCCTGGGGAGCAAATTGTTATTTTAAGTTGGTATAAACTTTTGCACCCATCTGCAACTTGGCCACTGTAAGAATCATGTTATCTTTAACACAAACCTTCTCTGGTGCACCTGTTCTTACTTAATTATTACATTAACCAGGTATTTAGACCAGATACTCATTGTCACAATAATGGCCAATTAATTGGTGACATAGCCTACAAATTTTACATTAACTTGAGACTATTTGACCCTACATAACAATGTGTTGTGATTAATTGGTTTTATTTTATAACATCATTCAACTTGGAGAAAACAGGGAACTTAAATGGCACAGTAAATATATAGTCAAATCTTGATTTAAATATGTCATGTTTATATCATTCTACCAGACATTTCATTTATGATAACCATGATATCGCACAACAAAATCTTACAGTTTAGCAAATATTATAGAAAATGGGTAACAAATTTGAGTGATTCTGCTGCACAGGGCCACTCAATGTACTCCAAGGGCCGTACAATGGGTATGAGAGAGCGCACCGTGTTCTCTTTGGAGGGTACGGACCGGGAGGCTCAGAGACGGGTCATCTACAGGTTCATGTTGGAGAATATGATGGACGACCATCGATTCAGCGTCACGTACCGTCTATGCACAGACATTCTGGGTGAGTAACCTCAAAACACTAGTGTACACCCTATGTATGTTCCAATTGGTTTCCAGAATATAATAATTTATAATATAGCTTTTATAGTAGGACTAGTGTTAACAGCCTTTTAGTTTAAGCCATGTGGTCATGGGGATAATTAACTCCCAAATCAATATAGAAGTAGTTTTATAATCTGGTCATAAACCAAAATGATAATTTCTCAACAAAATAACAATTATTCTAAAATATAGTAGTGGAACTAACCTAAAAATGGATGGGTCGCATTTTTAATTCAGTAGGCTACATGTTGTTGAATTGGCACAGCTAATATAGGCTAATATCTTCCCACCAACAACTGGAACTCGTCTAAAAAATTACCAAAATGATTTAATTTAATGCTAAAAATACTAAACTAAGATTTTATACAATTTACAGTTCGAGCATACAAATTTATTTATGTCGAAAGCAAAGTACACATATTTAAGTTCAAACCTTTTACATATAAGATACAATTCAAGAATTCATTAAAAGGATATATTCCTAGGATGAATACTAATCTTTCAAATTAACAAAATTATATTTAATTCTATCTACTTAATTGTCAATGTGCCCTTTCCGTACTGATTCTACTCCAATATCAAGTTTTTCCAGCTAGAACTTCTACAATCAATGATACCACTACAACAAAACACAACTACTTCCATCACTATATATGTATTCCTATAGTTACAGGCACATATATAATATATATATTTTTATTATACCAACAAAATAATCGGTACATCAGGATTAAATGACCCGATAGTAATTGTAACAACTGTTGTGTATTGTGTATAGTTACACGATAGCTTAGTTGTGGCTCTACTATATGGTGCCACCGCTTATCAACTAGAACTGTGTTTATTATTTATACTATTTTCAACAACTCCCTGGTCACCATATTGGAACTAAAGAAAACTCTCTCTTCCTTAATTGAAAATGCTGTCAGTGGCAGTAAAAAATTCTTAAGTGTTGTCTATATAGTGTAAAGCTGTGTGTATCTTGTGCCAGTTTAGACTTTTTACATTCAGGAAAAAGCCTGCTGTCCTCACAAAAATCCTAAAAACCTAGGCCCTTGTGCTTTATGTTACATCCTAAGTTTCTTTAAAATAAAGTAGTTGAAATAAGCGTGAGAGATAGAAATTCAACCAGTTGGCTAAGAGAGATTGGTTGATGAATTTTAAATTGTAATAGTTAGTTCTTGACTAATTAAATAGCAAATAACTTTAGGTAACTTTAGGTACGTCAATTTACTGGTATTGGATTCCATTGTTGTTGAAAGCACAAAAGTGAACCAACATTACACTGTAAATGTATTTCTTTCTGTAGCAAAAAAAAATATAGGCCTGCCAAATTGAGTCTATTGAACCTCACTAAGGTGAAAAGCAATATCAGGCAATACACATCTGCCAGAATTTGTCTTGCAAAAGATTTGTAAACGGTTATGTGATTTGTAGCCGGAGTGGCCGATGGAGACATAGACCTCAGTCCTAGTGGCACAACGTTGCTGCAGGACGCGTTGTATGTTCTATCCAGCGATGAAATACGCCTGTCTCACCTACGAGGGGCTTCTAAAGACTGTGATGACGACGAAGAACCAGCACCCGAGGCCCAGATGGCTGAGGTCATCAGCAACCTCGCTCGCAAGACTTTGGTTTCCCAGGCAAGTATATCACTGAATTTATCAATTATTTTTAAAACTTAAGAGGAAATTAAGAGTTAAATAAGGTTATTTAGTTTATGTAAGAAATAAAAAAAAACTTAATGAAATGTTTAAGGAGAGTAAGAAGTACTGTAAAGCACAAAATAATTTTTTTCTGTTTGATCCTAGTGAGTTTATTTAATGGAAATAGGACTTTACTTTTCACTTCCAAAACTAATTATATAGAGTAATTGGCTGGTTTCATCTTACTCTTAAGCTAGCTTAAATAACCACATGCTCATTAATTCACATTTGATAGCGAGTGTGTGCACTACTGTTTTTGGGTATTTACTCAGGGGAGGTATAGAAGAGGCTACGATGACAGCTGAGGGCTTCTTATTAGCTGAGGGAACGCCATTACCGTAACAAAACGAATAGTTGCCATCGGCGTCAGTGGTCCAATGGTTAGCGTGCCGGGCTGATATACTGTAGGTCCCGGGTTCGAATCCTGCTGGTAACATTAACTTTTTGTCCAAGAATTTTTTATTATCAGCAAGTTTGGTTGGTTTGGTTCAGTTATTACAGTTTAATTTTATTATTAAGTCATTACAAAATTTTAATTGAGCAAATTCTAGTTTTATTTAATAAACAGAATTATTTTTCCGATTACTAAACTTTTGTTGTATTATTTCTTTATCAGCAAGTTTGGTTAGTTTGGTTAGGTTATGATAGTTTAATTTTATAATTAAAAAATAATAAAATTGAATTTGAGACATTTATAATTTTATTTTATGAACAGAACTATTTTTGCGATTAGTAAACCTTCATTGCCGAAGTGCTCCCTACTACAGCGCCGTTCACGGAGGAATTTTGAACTAAATGCCTCATTCGTACCTCCCCTAAGTCAGACCCCTGTTTTTGGACTGCAACTCTGTCTATAAAAACATTTACATGGAGGAAATTTTGTAATACTTCAAAGTTGAAACTACTAAAAAACACCAGCCCACGATATTTAGCACAAACTAACCACGAGCATGAAAATTCTAAAACAGAATGAGCGATAAATTTTGTTAACCAAAGAAAAACATCGGAATTGAGCCAAGAATTTTGCAACTAACCCTTAGAATTGACCCCATTCAGGTCTTGCAATGACAACTGTGACGATACAGTCATTTATTTTTTGGGTAATTCGCAAACAGTTTTTCATGGGAAAAATATAAAAATATTTATCAATTGTCCTCAGAACTTAATTTCTTGATCAGAATGTAATCTGTTTTATGATTCAGTGGCTTAGAAGCCTGACCAGTTTTTCTGTCATGCTTCATAATCAAGATACAAATGTCCGGGAAAAATAAAGAGCAGTGCTTTTTAAACATTTTCTTGTTGTATGTATTTTCATGCCAACTTTTTTCTTGTTTCAAGGTTGTAAAGAAAAACATGATTGAAAATGTGGTCCCCATCTTCATCAAGCTAAAACTGAAGTTAAAACAGCTCAAGTCTCCGTTAGTGCGAGATCTGATGGCTTGTCTACGGGAACTCATGAAAGACTACAAAACTGAAGTGAGTATTTGTCAAATATTAAGGCGTAGTATACCTACCTCAATATTTATTGGTAGATAAATAAGGACAGTAATGTAGGAAAATTCTTTTTGACCTAGGACCTTAATCTAATGAAATTAAACTTATACAAACATTGGTTATAACATCATGAATGTATATGCTATGTTTGGTTCAAATTTTTTTCTGCTTGTTTATTTAGGTTTTTAAGTAAAAATTCAAGTAAGCAATAAGCATGTCATTTATTGCTTTGTTTTGGGACTTTTTAAAGCTTTTGCCAGAAGGATTCTTGGTCAAGTTACTGTGTGTGATCTGAGCAAGGCTTTTGATTGTGTTGATCATAGTCTCTTGTGTAAATTAGAGCACTATGGCGTCCCTTCTCTCAATTTTTAAGTACTATTCAAGTGTGGTTGTTCATAGTTTGTTTATGCAAAGGGTGTGCATTTCAGGTGCATTGAAGTTAAAACTGGAGTTCCCCAAGGCTCAGTGCTTGGTCCCATACTCTTTTTTATTTCTGTCAATGATTTACCACTTAGTATCGGTTCCCAAACCACAATGTTTGCAGATGACACAACATTATTAATTATTCACATAGATTATAATAGATTAAAGTTAGCTGTTGGACTGATAATGAAACAAGTTGGTACGGTAATTGGTTCGGTGTTAACAATAATATGAATTTCTTTCTTAATATGGATAAGACTCATTACCTAGTTTGTCATACGAAAAACAAAGATTTAGGCTCAGTTATGGTTTGGAAAGAGGATAGGCCTATACTAATTTTCAGTGTATTGATTGATAGCAGCCTTTCCTGGTCGTATTCATTCAGTTTATTCAAAACTGTCAATAGTTATCATTTGCCTTCCAGACTTTCTAGCTTTTACAAATTGACGATTTTGAAAATAATAAAAAGGAAAACCTGTAACTTAACGTTTTGTGATTGTATGTCCAACTAATTAGTTCAGTTGAGAGGGACTATTCTGTGTTAACTGTGAACGTAAATGTGTTTCCAGATAAATGACATCTTGGCAGCGGATAAGGAGCTGGCTGCAGAGATTGCCCACGACCTACAATCCTCTAGGCTAGAAGAGGAGGACAGCGGAGACGAAGCTCCTAAACTGAGCGATGGTGAGGTGCTAAAGAAAGCTATGATGGGAGTCGTAGCGCTAACGGAAGTGAGGAACAGTCTGAACATATCCAATCAAAGAACCCCACAAGTCAGGCTATCTCGGTTGGACAGTTCACCTGTAAACCCGCCCAATGGAACTCCTAAAAGAACATCTACGCAGCAGGAATCCCCTGTGAAAAGAACATCTGAGTCTAGCACTCCTGGTTCTTCTAAATCATCCCCGGGGACCAGTGATGCGGTGAGCAGCAAACAGTGTTCCCCCACCACTGCCTCGGACTGTGAGCCTGCTATGCGTGTCAGGTCTAGTAGGCTATCTACCGGGTCCACTTGTAGCGAAGCAAGCACCAACTCCAGGACTAGTAGGAGCTCCAGGAGGAATAAGAAGAAATAGTCCTCATTGTATGTATTTTCTTGTACAAAGTTATATTTCAACTGTATTTTTTGGCCGCGTTTTATATGTCTTTAGTATATTTAGTTAGATTAAAATAATAAAGCCAAGAAATCAAATTTTATTTACCTCAGGCTCTTTCAAATTGAATTCAGAGAATTGAATATATATAAAAAAAGTGATATGGTTGATTGCTTAAATGATACATGTAGTACGGTCAATTGCCTAATTGCCACATTTATAGTGGTTTTTTAGCATTATGCTTTGATCATTTGATTAAAAAGAAAAAGTAAACCCATTTATCAAACACATTACATTTTTAGATACATAATCTTATATAAGTAGTTCAGGAGACAATTCTAAGTTATTTTTAAATATTTTATACACTTAGGAGCGTTAGTGTGTTTGATTTTTTACTGCCTTAAAAATTGCTTAAGAATATTACAAAAAATATGCAGTATAATATTTTTAAACTACCATTAAATTGCCACCAAACAATCCATTAAATATAGACAAATTTTGACAAATTAAATATAGACAAAATAAGAGATCAAAACGAAGCACCTGTACATGTGATTTTCACAAATTTGTATGTTATGTGCAAATAAATTATCATTATCTGATATTATCACCAAAGAGAAAAGCTTGTTCAATCCACCCTAAATGAAGTAAGAGAAATTTAGTCAATATTAATGCAATCAAGCGTAACAGAACAGACTTGTCAAAACTGGCAAAATAATTTACAATATTTTGAATTTACAATTTGTTTTGATCTTTTTTTAGTAAGGCAGGCAAACTTCTTATGAATAGATTGCCGATATACGAAGGCTTCATTTTTTAAAGTTCCAGCCGATGATGACTTTTTACAGTAAGATTTTCCCACCTTGTATTGTATTTATGGGATACTTCAGTGTTTTTATCTTTAAATAAACATGCTGAATAGTTTTAAAAATATACAAACCATACACTGTAAAAATTTGTATTTCTCTAAAGTATTTTCTCACCAACTTCTTATCCTTAAAATTTTCAATAACTCTAATTGCCTGTTTTTGTAGTTTTAAAACCTTTTTCAAGTTTTTTTTGCTGTCCCACCATAAATTTTGATTCCGTAGCCAATATGACATTCTATAAGCGAGTGGTATATCAATTTTAACACAGCTTTGTTACAGAGATAAGCCATTGATCTTAAAAGAAACAAGCCTGAATTAATTTTGCCAACCAAATACTTAATATGTTCATTCCAATTTAGATGTTCATCAATTATCAAGACAAAAAATTTGGTTGATTTCACTTGATTGATCAGGTTATTATTTCGAGTAATTTTAGGGGTTTGATCTTTTTTGATCTTATTTGTATGGGAGAGAACAAAATTTGTCTTGTTTGTATTTAAAGCGAAATTGTTGTTTGTTAAGAATTGTTCAATATTTTTTAGCTGAAATTCAGTAGAATTTTTTATATCAGTAATTGAATTACCCGAAGTTTCAAGATTGACATCATCAGCATATACTTAATGTATTGGCTGACTCAGTCAATGTTTTCAATTGTTTATTTATATATATATATTTATATATGTGTCCGTTTGCACAATAACTCGAGCAGAAATTATCTGATTTTGATGAAATTTGGTACAAATGTGTAAACCCACATTTATTCGAACGAGTTAGCAAACCAGCATGATCGAACTGTGGGAACAGGGGTTTATGGGAGTAAAAATGGGGTTTTCTCATTTTTCACCCTGAAAACATAACATTTTGCAATTTCTTTCCAAACCATTTCTTAGAGCTCAAAAAAAAACAATACTTTTAAAGAAATTTTTAATTGATTTGGAAAATAGCCTGTGATAAGTGAAGAATTTACAAGATGTGCCAGGATAAACTTTAATTCATCTTTTACCTCCTTTAGAATGGTGACTGATAAGCCATCATAACCAGATGATTTTCTGTTTTTAAAAGAGTTGATAATTGAAACTATTTCAGCGTCAGTTACAGGTTTTACCTAGATACAAATTTGAATTCAATGACAAATCTACATTGTTGTCATCCTGAGTAGAGAAAGATGGTTGAGTTGGTTTTGTGGTCATTGTCTGTGCAAAGAATGAATTAAAGAAGTTGCTTACTTCTTCGGGTCTGCTTATCAGCTTCTCACCATTTTTGAACACAATACCCTCAGTATCTTTTTTTTACTATTGTGAATGTCTTTGTTTATTATTGACCAAAGTTTTTGAAATGTCAGGTGATTGCTTAATTTTGTTGTTGTAATATCCTTTTTTTTGCATTTAAGAGACCTGATTTAAAGTTTTCTTTAAGATATTAAGATCGACTTTATCCTTGGTTTTAATTTATAACCACCAATGTTAAGCTATAATACTTGTCCATTGCGGTCTGATAAGAATGTAATCAGACCATAAACATATAACTTTACATTTGTGAAATTTGTTAAAAAATTATCTATTGCCGATTGACAGCTGTTTAGTACCCTTGTGGGAAAGTTGATTAAATATCGCATATTGTGACTTTTTAACATGCTCTGTAGTTCTTTAAATTTGTTATCTTTTACCATTAATATTTATGTCTCCTGCTTCTATAATATTTGTACTAACATTCTTTAAAATGCTATCAACTACAAAACTAAGATTATCCAGAAATAAATTTACATCGGCACTTGGAGATCGATACACACCTATCAATACAAACTCATACCCATTAGTACAGCACTTCACAGCACAGCATTCAAAAACCATCTCCTGACAAAGTGTCTCTATTATTTAGGGTGATATTTTATTTTCTGAACTGTTACATTATTTTTAACAAATATTGCCACATCTCCTTTAGAAAACTTACTTTGACAAAAATAAATGTTTACAGTGAAGTCATCAATATTAATCTTTTGAATGGCATAATCTAATCTTTCATATTGTGCTCAGTAATTACAAGAATGTGTGGTTTAATTTCCTCAATGATTACTTACAAGCCAATTTTTCGAGATTCTAGATGTTCAATATTTTGGTGTAGTATTTGTTTCCAAAATTTGCCAATTCATCCTGCTTGTAACAAGTTTTACGTGCTGGTGAATAATGGTGTGAAATGCTGTTTACTTTATTATTATTGTTGTTATTATTATTATTATTACGAGGTGTTAGCCCGTCCTACGTACGGGAATTCAGTAGTCAGTTAAAACCGTGTACAATTCAGATCAGCTAGTTTACACATATAAAGGCAAAGTTTCTTGCAGTTTTAATGTGAAAAATCATCTTGTAAACAAATGTTGTGTGACCAAATCTGTTTTTATGCCATCATAGGCCTATACAATATGCATTTTAAATACGATAATTTTACAATAAAACAGCAATTCTGCAATTTTTACGATGTGAAAAGCGTTAAAGTGAGATTTGCAGACGATTCGCACAGACGCACACTGATTATAAGTAGCCTACGGTAGAGAGAGTAATAGTCAATTGAGAAGTGTATAGACCTAGTCAAGATACCACCTTCCATAGCATACCGGCCTCTTCCATAATTATTATCACCAAAATACAACTACTATACACAATTTCCAGTAGGTCTGAGTAGAAACGACCTCAAATAAAACGATAATATCCAATAAAATTCACAGTACACATAATTTAACTTTGGTGTCCTAACATCAAAACTAATCGTCACACCTATCCTTTATATCAATTTCACTGCATTAATTGCTAAATAAATAAATGTAAACAAAGAAAAGTTAAAACAATAACAGTTTGTTTTGAAACAGCTGTTTGGTTCAAATAACATTCATTTGAAAAAAAGAACTGGTCACATGTAGCAGGAATATAAAAAGTAAACACGCTAGTAAAGCTGATGAGTAATTGTCAATGTTTATTATCCATACCGTTATCAGTTCTATCCTTGATAATTGCCCACCCTCATTGAATAAATACGTCGTACATTTCCCATATTAGTTAATTTAAACTACAATACATTCATAGTTGAAATAAAAGTGATATTTTCACGTTTGGGGGCGCTGATATAGGCGCCCCTAAACGTAACCACAACTGAACACGATTTCATAAATGGATGGTTTGTCTAATTGCAGTATCCTAGGTCAATGTTGACTGTGTTCAATCTATGTCATCCATCTGTTTATCTTTGTATAAAACCCGGCTGAAGTTGTGGTGGTAATTTAAAATCGTGATTCCTGATTATTCTTGATCTTCTTTTTCCATGACATCAATATTTCCGGGCCTAATCCAAACAAAGTTAAAGCAGACAAACATTAATTGTAAACAAAAAGCTACCATTATGAATTAAAACATGTAAACATTGTTATTTTTCTAATCTTTCCTTGAAAAGTGGAGCAGTAAAATAATTTGCATTTATCCTTTTTTACAAACTTGTACAACTCATAAGCACATTTGTTTTACTCCAACTAGGAGGTTGCTATGCCAACATAACAACTAATTTTATAAACATGAAACAGTCTTTAGTTACACATAGAATAATAAATAATTGAGTTAGGGGTACTTACGTATTAAACGGAGGCCACATATTTTACAGCGCGCTGCAGCGGTTATGTTAGGTTGGGTTAACATAAATATATGTTTTTTTATCAAATTAAACTATCTTAACCTAACCTAACCAACCAAACTTGCTGATGGTGAAGGTTTACTAATCGAATCAAATCTGTAGGTTAGGTGGCCTCCGTTTAATACGTAAGTACCGAGTTAGGGTATATTTTGATATATTTTTATATTGCTTCAACAATTAAAAACTGTGGTTTAAACCGTGGTCTAATTATCTCTACTAATCTTACTTATTTCCTATAATCAATGACAAAATAAGAGTAAATAAAATAACCTCATGGTTCCATAGTTTATATTTAACCAGCTGTTAGTTAAAACAAATTATATCTAATATATAAAATTCTCGTGTCACAGTGTTTGTCTGCAAACTCCTCCGGAACCACTTCACCGATCGTTATGAAATTTGGTGTGTACATTCTGTAGGTATGCGAATCGGACGTAAACTATTTCCCGTTTCGAAATTCTTAAAAGGGCTCCGCCCCAGTGGCTCTGGAGTTTCCCATGTTAACCTTATGAGAAATGGAATTAATGAATCTTAACAGCTGTT